AAGCAACTAGTTATGAAGAAACAACACATCCGTACCTCTTTTGGTAATTTTAAGGATATGATTTATTTTTGCTTACTGTCATTAGAGGCTTTAATCTTCAGTCTGCTACATTGAGTACTGTGTCTCAGGCACAAAGAATGTCTTTGGAAGGACACGTGACCAGGAGCTTGTGGTTCTGTAGGTGGAGCTGCTCCTCCCACCCCCCTCACCCCCGCCCCGTGTGACCGCGCATCCAGGAGCCATTGAACTTGTACTACGAGCTCACCGCCATGCATTTCATGACAAGCTAGCAGCATGCCCGAGCAGCAAGACTTGAGATCTAGAATTTTAGGGCATGGCAAACCCTAATGATGATACTGTAATGTAACATAATGTAATCATACGATAGTTTCTAACCTGTTTTTAGAATGTGGAACTCCTGCTTTACATGCCCCGCTCTGCCCTGGCAAACAGGGGGGATCTGTGTCACAAAGAAAGCTGGAGAGGTAGAGAGGACATAGAAAAGAAAATGCAGTGAAGAGTGACAGAGCGTGGTTTTCTCCCTCTTGCAGTAAAACCTGAAAATGTTTGAAATGCCTGAAACTAGACTAATTCACATGAAGTTTCTTTTCCTGGCTTCATATTACCAGAGAGGCATATTGATGAGATGGCGAAGCAGGGTGAGGCAGGTAACCAGTGGCACAGTTTCTCTGAATTGGCTTCCAAGTAAGTGGTATGTTTTCCAAGCTTTCATCTGGGTTAATTCTTGGGGGGCAGAGATCATGCTTGCTTCTGGGGCCGCTGGTCCGTTTGCTGGGACAGTGGCAGACAGAGCTGAGCTCTAGGCTCAACTAAGAGGGTAGTATTTTGTGCCTTCTTACATCTCTCTAACTTGTATTTTCCATGGGTATGGTGTATCAGCCAGAATCTTGAACTATTTAAGGGAAAACATTACTGAGGATACTACTTAAGGATACTAGCTTTGAATCAGTTGCTCGTTGCTGTAAAGTTTCATGTGCAAGAGTGATTCTGGGTTATTCCAGTATCTTTGTAGACATAAGAAAGGAGGCTTGGGAATGCTGTCATCCACTCGTCTGTGTGTCTGTGGGCTGTGTGACGTGTGGACTTGAGGGGTCCTCTCAGGCACAGGCTTGGCCAGTGAGAAGGCTTGGAGTGTAGAGTGGGAGAAATACCATCACAGAATAAATAGGCAGCAGAGAATAGTAAGGCTTTTCATTGCAGTAAGTTTGAGAGAAGGCAAAAGAACAGGATGGAAGGATAGGACCTGGTACTGGGCACGGACAGACAGAAAAGAGAGGGGAGGTGGTTTTGAAGGAGGGCCTAGAGAGATGTCTCTGGGGTACACGGGCTCACGTGTTCACGTACTGTCTGGTGGTTCCAGATCGGTTCAGAAACCGTGGGAAGGTTGGCCTGGGATAAAGTGATACGTAATAGTAATCATTTGAGAAAAGGCTTTCGTTGACTATGAGAGGAGCGACAGATCTGGGGAGAAGAGCGTCTCCTTAGCCGTTCCAGCTGTACCCCAGGATAAGCAGGTAAGCGATGGACTGGGATGTCCATCTGGATTAAATGTCAGGAGTCTGAGTTCTAGTTTGGGCTCTGACATGGCGTCTGCTCCTCCCAGAGACTGTTTTCTTTATTATAAAATGACGGTTTGAACCAGTTAGCCTTTAAATCCTTCCATCTTTGAATTTCTTTTACTCCTTGTCTTTTCAGCAAATACCAACATTTAGATCTAATCCTTGCTGGTGGCATTATTTTGAAAACCTAGGACAGAAACACTGAAATAATGTGGTTTGGGGGCTCCTGGGTGGCTGAGTCAGTTAAGCAGCTGACTCTTGATTTCAGCTCAGGTCATGATATCCTGGTTTGTGAGAGAGAGTCCCATGTTGGGCTCTGACAGCTGGAGCCTGCTTGGGATTCTCTCTTCTCTCTCTCTGTCCCTCTCTCTGTCCCTCCCCCCCCCCCCAGCACCGCAGGCTCATTCTCTCTCTCTCTCTCTCTCTCTCTCTCTTTCTCTCTTTCAAAATAAATAAACATTAAAAATAAATAATGTGCTTTTAAAAAGAACGTTTATTTTGAGAGAGAGAGCCCTCGCATATGCACATGCCCCAGGGAGGGGCAGAAAGAGAATCTGAAGCAGGCTCTGCACTGCAGCACAGAGCCCAACGCGGGGCTCAATCTCCTGAACTGTGAGATCGTAACCTGAGCTGAAATTAAGAATCATAACTGACTGGCAGAGAAGGACAAATACCATATATTTGCACATATAGGTGGATTAGGAGGAATTTAACAGAGGACGATGTGGGAGAAGAAGGGGAAAACTAGTGGGGGAGAGGGAGGGAGGCAAAACATGAGAGACTCTTGAATGCTGAGAACAAACTAAGGGCAGATGGGGGTGGGGGGAGAGGAAGAGGGGTGATGGGCATGGAGGAGGGCACTTGTGGGGATGAGCAACAGGGTGTTATATGGAAACCAACTTGACAATAAACTATTAAAAAAAAAAGACATTAAAAAAAAAAGAATCATAACTGACTGAGCCACCTAGGTGCCCCTAACGTGCTTTAGTGAAAAGTAACTTTGAGAAAATTTTCAGGATCTGTTGTTTGAACATCATTTTGGAAGTGTGATAAAACGAAGAAACCAGTTTATATAGAACTTGCCAAAATTAGGACTGGATCACATTTCTGGAGCAATGTTTTCATTCTTTTTTATTGCACTGAGATGGAAATTTTAAAGTCAGTTCCAGGCACCCCTCATCTCTTACCGCAGCACCTAAACGTCCCCGTGTGACTCACCCTGCTTCTAGTGGCGTGTCTGAAGGTGAGATCCTCCAGTCGCTTGCAAAGTCCTGCGCCTCGAAGTTGGTAGAGTCGGAATCTCAGTTATTGGGGAGGGAACCCCAGGGCAGGGCTGCCTTCAGCTTACAGCTGGGCCGCCCCGAGGGGTCCTGGCTAAACAGAGACCGTTTTCTACAGAAGCCGTTATAGGCCCAGAGAGAGGTGAGCTGCAACTAACCTTTACTTTGTTACTTTCGTCTTTCAGGGATGAATTTTCTCCCTAATTTATATATAGAAAAGTACACGTGAAGAACAGCCAGCTGGGCAGCAGAGGTCCTTAGAGAAAGAGAACTTTTCCAGTGTTCCTCTCTCCCCCTCCTTCAGGAGCACATTCTCCATAGGTTGTTCACCCTGCACAAGAAGAACTTCCAAATCTACGTGGCTCCTATTTGCTAAGTTTTAAAAAAGCATAAATGTGTAAATTCAGAAAAGAGAAAGAACAAACAGCCTACATCTCGTCCCCTTTCTCCCCACGTCCTCCTGATTAGTTCAGGCTAAGAGCTGCTGGCACACGTTGAGTAGAGCTTTTAAAGCTTAGAAACCAAAAAGAATAGATCGATAATTGAGCTACATAACACTGACAAATGTCTATATGGACAAATTAAACTACCACATTGACTGGGAAAAACTATTGCAACTCTTATGTTCAAAAGGCCAATTTTCTTTATATGTGAAGAATATATACAAATAAATGAGAAAGAGTAGCAACCCAGCAGGAAATCTGCAAAGGAAAGAAACAAATTATTCATAGAGAAGACTTAAAAAAAAATTTTTTTTAATGTTTATTTATTTTGGAGAGAGAGAGAGAGCACGCGCACAAGTTGGGGAAAAACAGAGAGAGAGGGAGACACAGAATCCAAAGCAGGCTCCAGGCTCTGAGCTATCAGCACAGAGCCAGACGCAGGGCTTGAACCCCCAAACTCTGAGATCCTGACCTGAGCTGTAGTCGGTGGATTAACCGACTGAGCCACCCAGGCACCCCTAGAAGACTTTTAAGCATTTGAGAAAATGCCTTTTCTCGTTAATAAGAAGAAGGCAGTATACTGAGATACCAGTTTTCATCTGTTGGATTGACGGAGATACAGAGTTAAAGCATCTTTTGAAAAGTCTGTGGGGAAGCAAGCACTTTCAGAACTTGCTGGTCAGATTATAAATTAACACTACCTCTCTGGAACACAATTTAGATAGCAAACTAATATGTATTACCTTTGAGCTGGCAATTTCACTTCTAGGAATATATCCTGCTAATATACTCCCACACAAACTGGTAAACGTGTAAAGTTATTCACTATATCATTATTTGTAGCAGCGGAAGAGTGTAGACATCACCAATGCCTGTCAGTCGGGGCCTGGTGAAATAAGGTGTGGTGTGTCCACACAGTGGAATACTGTACAACCTTTGAAAAAACAAACTTCATGGTAATGAAGTCTCAGGTATATCTTAAGAAAGTAAAGTAAGGAAGAGTGTGTGGGTAACGTGCTACTATCTGATAAGGAAAGAGAAGGTAAAGGAGAGTAATATCTTTGCTCGTATGCGCACACAGCACCCCTGGGAATACACGCTCATGACACTGGCCATCTCTATAGTAAACAGAGCACTAGAGTGTGAGAGAGACTTGTCAAACAAGACCTTTTTAGATCTCTTGAATTCTTAACCACGGGGATTTCCCTCTTTTTAATTATTGTATAAGTAATTTGTTCAATAAAAAATGAAAACATATTTCAATTCAGATGAAGAAAATATCAAATTTATCCAATGCATTTACTACAACCATAAACATCAGAGAATTTTTTTCTTTGCTGAGTAGCTGCAGCTACCTTAGCTGCCTCTCTGGAATTGGACTATTCACTAAAGCTTCTAACAGTCAGTCATTCTTGGAATGATCTCTGTGTCACATTCTTTGAATGTCATGCTAGTTTATATGTGCTTATGTTAAAACTTCCTGCATTAATATTCAAAACCGAGATTTCTTTGTAGTGGATATTTTAATTATTGGTCATCTTTGACATGTTTTGATAAGGAATATTATTGAGACTTTTAAAAAGAAATAGGAAGATATCTTTTTCCTTTTTCTTTGCCCTTGTTCCTCAAGGTGGGCAGGTGGAGATGCAGTACTCTCAATATTTTTACAGTCACTGTAAAAGACATTTTACCCACAGGAAGAAGAAGGAAATACTTGCAAAGCACAAAAAATGTCCTGGCTGCAAGATTGTGTTTTATCCTTATCTCCGACCAATGATCTCATGGTTATAGCTCGAGAGCAAAAAGCTGTTTTTCTAGTGCGTAAGTACTATTGTTTTCAGTGTCTTTTATTTTAATGCATAGAATAGGACAGAAATGGATTAGCTAGAAAGAAAAAAATGTCACATTGTGTGCATTATATGGTGGTGGTCTTTTTTTTTAATGTTTATTTTTGAGAGACAGAGCACAAGCAGGGGAGGGGCAAAGAGAGAGAGAGACACGAAATCTGAAGCAGGCTCCGAGCTGTGAGCACAGAACCTGACATGGGGCTTGAACCCACAAACTGTGAGATCATGACCCGAGCCAAAGTTGGACGCTTAGCCAACTGAGCCACGCCCCAAGTGACGTTCTGTAGTATATTTCATGTATAATACTTGTTATTTTCCTTTTTGTACTTCTCATTCTCTTTCCTTCTTTCAATTCTGTTTGTTTCCTCTTTGTTTTTCTCTTTCGGCTGCCCATACTTAGCTATGGTTCTGTGGCTCTTCAGAGGCAGAACTGGGTAGGGCCCAGTTCTTGCAAGGGGCAGGCAAAGCTAAACAGGCTGCTGGCCCCTTCTTAGTGATCATGTGATTGAGATGATTTTCAACTAAACTTTGAAAGCTCATGGGACTCTAGTTTCTCACTTTGGGCATAAATTTTCAGTTCATAATTTTTACTGAAGACTGAAATTAAGGCTGACATAAAATATGAAAAACCTTACTGATCAAAGTCAGATCATACATTAAACGGCTGTGGAATGGTCCTCAAAGCAGATTTATCCTCCTGAAACATGTCTTTTCTTTAAAAAAAATTTTTTTTAACGTTTTATTTATTTCTGAGAGAGAGAGACAGTGTGAGCAGGGGAGGGTCAGAGAGAGAGGGAGACACAGAATCTGAAACAGACTCCAGGCTCTGAGCTAGCTGTCACCGCAGAGCCCGATGTGGGGCTCGAACCCATGAACCGTGAGATCATGACCTGAGCCGAAGTCAGCTGCCCAACTGACTGAGCCACCCAGGAGCCCCAGTCTTTTTTTTTTTTAATATTTATTTCTGGGGGGGGGGAGGGGAGGGACAGAGAGAGGGAGAGACACAGTCCTAAGCAGGTTCTGTGATGTCAGTGCAGAGGGCTCGATCTCACAGTTCTTGAGACTCGAGTCAAAATCAGGAGTTGGATACTTAATCGACTGAGCCACCCAGGTGCCCGTATAGCATAAATCTAATGGAAAGTCTTCTCTGTCATATGAAGATAAGTCATTTTGTAAATAAAACAGATGAGATGGTGTATATGAACGGATAATTTATTCTGCAGGAACTGTGACATCAGATGGATTTAATTGGAGGAGGGGAGAGACTACAGTCGAGGAGACTAGGTTAAGTTTTATAAAAATCTTAAACAATTTAAAAAATATTTGCCGATAAAGAGACCCAAACCCATTATCGTAGAACAATTGCATTCTGTACTCATTCTAAAGGGAAACTGTTCAATTTATAAATTACTGTTTCAGTATGCTATAGTTAAAGTTATTTTATATGATAATTTTTTTCAGCAAAATGGAAATACAGTGATAAAGGAAAAGAAGAGATGCAATTTGCTGCTGGCTGGAGTGGTTCTTTAAATGTCGAAGAAGGGTAGGTACCAGTTTTGTTTCTTGGTGTGATAAATGTGTGTATGAAATTATTTGACTTGTAAAGTGAGAAGTTTCATCACTGGAATATTTAGTGAATGTATATTCATCCCAACTTAGAGGCTGCGGGGCATGATTTGGTCAGCAAATTTAAATTGGACTCATGTGATTACTTTTTTTTTTTTTTAATGCTGTTTACAGAGGATTTAGAGAAGAGCTCAGAGAGAATCCCACACTTTCTACATTTCGTTGTTTCCTGTGTTCATTACTAATTTTATTCAGCTAAGAAGTCAAGAGCCGTCATTGTTTTCTCTGCTTTGGTAGCATTGGCCTTGTGCTTAAGGGGGACGGTGCTACATTAATTCTTAAAACTCATAAATACTTCAGAAAGGCAAGTTGGTAAATCCAGGTTTCCTAATGACCCCATAAGAGTGAGTCTCTAGCCTGATGATATGGTGGAGCTGCTAACCTGGGACCTGGTGCCAAAAACGGTTTTCACTTAAATTTTTATGACTGAAAACTATCTGATGAGAATGAGTAAGATACTTGAGACTCTGGATTCAGATAAAAGATAACCAAGTGGAAGCCCAGAATACATGCCTGGCACACTGGAGATACTTCTTGGAATGTTTTCTATTCTTATCAAAATAAATGATACTATTCCTCCTCAAGCTGTTCAGTCTAAGAATTTGAAGACATTTAATTTCCGTCAGCGGAGCAAAGCGAACACGGTGGTTCAAGTACTTTAAAGACCACAGACAAAAAGTTCTGTTCAGTGGCCGCATAAGATGATGTACGTACGGGGCAAGAGGGTTCACAGTTTCTTGAATAAGCTGGTGATGGTCCTGAGGGTTGACATTAAAGTCAGTCAGGAGGAGTTGTTTTAATTTGGGGGCTTAGTCTCTGAGCTCCTGACATATTTTCCAAGTCCACATGTCACATTAGAGAAGAATGTTTAGGGGCACCCAGCTTAGCATGTGCTGAGAAATGGGTTATTGGGGGCAGTTTCCGCAAAATATCAAGGAAGATGCCAACCGGGTGAAATGCAGTTAAGCCCTCAAATAACAGCCGCAGAAATGGGGTTCGCCTGTGATGTGACCGACACCCGTCCCGTGCCCTGTGCTTAGATGCCGCAGAGGAGGGGGCCTGTGGGAAGTGACCGCCCGCGATGACTTGCTCTTCTCCAGTTTTGTGTGTAGTCTGTGCGCAGGAAAGTTGTGCTTTCTCGTGGGCTTGTCATGATGGCACAGAATGAAGGCTACTGGTTTTTATTAACCTCAAGTGAGCGCGACCTTTCCTGTTATGTGAATGATTTTTAGGATTCTCCATATGTGGGCTTTTACTGTATTTTTACTTCCACAGTGAAGAAAACTGGTTCGCAGAGCTCAGCTTCCACTGGTTGCCCTTTAACATTAAAGTAGAGGGAAAAGTAATTGCTAAATTCATTAGGTAAACTTACAATTTCATTTTTGTTTTTAGAGAATGTGTCACCAGCGCCCTGTGTATCCCGCTAGCAAGCCAAAAGAGGTAAGGATAATGAAGTTACCTGTTTGCTTTGCTTTGCTTTATGAGCTGTTATAACAAAATGATGGGTTTGTCTGCGACAGGAGCTCCACCGGGCGTCCTGACTGGACCTGCATCGTGGTGGGCTTTAGCTCAGGTTACGTGCGCTTCTACACGGAGGTGAGCCGGCCGTTCGCTGCTCGATGGGAATATCTAGTTATGTGTCCCCAGTGATGTCCTTCGTGACTCGTTGCCTGCTGCTTGGGAAGGTGTAGTTGCTGCTTAATGGGGGGTGGGGTGCAGGTGGAAGGGGGGACGGGAGAAGTCGTGATGGAAAGTTCTGGTAGAAGCTATTGAGAAGAGAAGCTGTATTCTTCTGAAAGACGGTGCCTGATATCCGTGGAAAACTGGTGGGGAAATGGCACTCTTCGTGGCCATACCGGTTCGGGTCTGTTAGTAAGGAGACAGGCAGAGCCCCTCTCTGTGCTCCCTCCTAGAACGGCGTGCTCCTGCTTGCACAGCTTTTGAATGAGGACTCGGTGCTCCAGCTTAAGTGCAGGACCTATGAGATCCCACGGCATCCTGGTGTGACTGAACAGGTAGCGTAAAAGACTGTGTTCAAAGTATCAGTGCCTTTACTTCAAAGTAGTTTATTTTTCTCTCTCTGTTGGGAAACTTAAAGGTAACTCTGTCTTGTGGCGCAGTCGGCTGTGCTGGCATATTCCAGAAACATAACCTGTTTCCCAGTCTTGCTTTTACTTATTTAATGAAATATCCTCTGTTTTGTCCTACAATAAAATAAAACACTGTGGTCAGAGAGCCTTAAAAGGGTTTCTTATTTTTAGAATTTAATAGTGACTTAAGGCAAACATATGGTATATATCTTTTTTTTAATTTGGATTTAGCTGTCAGAATTGTCCACAACAAAAGAAGAAAAGTTCTAACGTTATTAACTATTACTACATTGTACTACCTATTTCTCAGAAAGGAGGTGAAGGTTTTATTTATAGTGGGAAATATATTCACTGAACTGAAGATTTTGATAGAAAATGATACTGTTTCATATCCAAGGCTCTCCACACGTGCAGTTTTCACTTCTTCCCAGGTGCTGTGTGAGAATTTGATTGTCTCATTCAAAAATTAACTGTAGACCCTCTCTCTCTGACCCTCCCGTGCTCATGCTGTCTCTCTCTCTCTCTGCTAGAAAAAAAAAAAGTTAACTGTAGAGCCACATAAATTAATACGCTCTTGTAGTCAAAACTATGTAAATATACCTGCCTTCTTTTTACTCTCCTGCTTCCAAAATGTTTCACGTGCACAGATGTATGTACTGTGTACCTGTGTGTACCTATGTATGAGAGGTGGCCTGGAGCTGTAGAAGAAGCTTAATCTAGTAAGAGAGCCTAGATTAATTCCTGTTAGTGCCTTTGAGTGAGTTAAACAGTCATGCAAAGCAGTACCTAGTGACTTGCCATTTTATATGGCCAGAAAAGATTCTGTACAAGTTCAGAGAAAGGGGAGCTCAATTAGAACGAGGACAATAAAAGAAACTTGCATTGAGGAGGTGAGATATGAATTAAGCTATGAAAAATGGTTAAAGACTACCATTAGTTAATGGTAAAAGAAGGAGAAAGTGTTTTAAGTAATCAGGAGAAAAATGAAGGGAGATTCAGTGTAGGACAGTGCATGAGACAACAGAGAAACCTATGTTAGAAAATAATGAGAAACTGTTGAATAGGCAGTGGCCACATTTTTCATAAATTTGAAAACCAAGTAAAAATCGTAATGATTCAGGAGATGAGCAAAGCTACTAAAGATTTATGAGAAGGAAGTGTTGTCTCAAAGGGACATTGAAGGAATCTCTCCTCAGGAGGAATTGGAGTTGTGAGAGTCTGGAGTCAAGGAGGCTAGTTAACTGATTTTTTAAAGTTCTCTCTAATAGACGTGCAGTGTTGGGATAGGACTCTGTGATGGCTGTGAGAAGAGAGAAGTGAGCAGTACCAAAATCATTAAAGGAACCATAGACAGAATTTGGTTATTGTCTAGAGATGTAGATGGGTCAAGAGGAAAATGAGTGGGCTCTAAGATACCCACGCTGAAGAGCACCTTTGACAAAGATGGCAGACAGGGCTGCTTTGCAAGTGAACAAATGTTGTTGAGTTTGGTTTGGGACATGTTGAGTTTGAGGTGATGGTAGGAAATAAAATGAAACTACCAGTATGGCTTCAGCCGTACAGAATTTCTGTACAGGCGCCAAGACTGGATTGAAGAAGATGGTTTAAGTCCTAGATAATTAATTCTTCCAGGTATAGGATCTAGGAAAGTAAAACTGAAGACTGTGGGGCGCCTGGGTGGCTTAGTCGGATAAGCGTCCGACTTTCGCTTAGGTCATGATCTCGCGGTTCGTGGGTTCGAGCCCCGTGTCGGGCTCTGTGCTGACTGCCAGCTCAGAGCCTGGAGCCTGTTTCAGTTTGTGACTCCCTCTCTCTCTGACCCTCCCCTGCTCATGCTCTCTCTCTCTCTCTCTCCTAGAAATAAATAAAACATAAAAAAAAAAAAAAAAAAAAAAAAAAAAAAAAAAAAAAAAAAAAAAAAAACAAAACTGAAGACTGAAAACTTAAGTCTTAATAATATTCACCACAAGAAGGTAGGAGAAAATGAAACCACTGAAGGAAACAAAGAAGGAGCTCTTAGAAATCTTAGAAGATAATGTGTTCTTTGAAGATACTTCTCAAGGGCTCTTTTCTGTTTTTCTATTCTCTGGATGGTGAAGGTTCTTATAAACATTTTAAGTTGGGTTATGTCTATACTAGTTTTTAGATTTGGTAGAAAAATATAATATTTAAATGCTTGCTATTTGTGAGTCAAGAAAATCTATTAGTTGAAAAATAATTCTCACCGAACACAGAGAGAGAAGCCTTTGTCGTTAGTCTGTGTTGTACATAAGCATTTTTGGGTCTGATACATCAGTTTATATGTCAAGAGTACGTATTCGCTTCTTCTTCATTATACTCCCAGATCTGTTAAAGGTCACAGAGCACATTTCCTCTGATTCAATTCTGGGGACAGTGAGTGTAGTAGAGGTGACAGCAGGTCATTGAAGGAGAAATTCCAAAGAGAGAAGATGTTTTTCTGGAATGTCAGAGGAACTCCTTCTGGGTCTTCTGCACAAATCTGTCATCTGATGTAATTTCTGTAGCTTTTGGACCACTGGTGTTTGTATTAGTATCTCCTTCAGGAGGACTGTCTGGTTTTGGAGATAATTGACTTGCTGGTGATTAGCTCCTCCAAGGCAGCGAGGAGGCTCTTTCCCCACCGTTGTGCTCAGTGGACCGTACAAGCCTCGCCTTGCGCATCTGTTATGCGAGCACCCGTGCCAGCTCCCTTCACCTGGCTCCTATGCCTCATGGGCCACAAATCTCTTTGAAAAATGGAAACAGTCTACTGGTCCAGTAGGCAAGCCGATCTCAAAAGAAGTATAGCTGGTCAGAAAGCATATGGTAACATTTTGAACTTAAATAATAATCTAAGAACTATAAGCAACTACATTTGGATAATTTTTCACCTTTCATATCGACAAAGATCAAGATTTACAAAACTGTTGGTAACAGTATGGAGAAACGCGCACTCTCATGTGTTGGTGGAAGCATGAATTAATTGGCACTTTCTTGAGGGCAGTTTAATAATATGAATTAATAATATGAATGAAAATTGAGAATATTGTACGATCCAACAGACCCAGTTGAAGGAATTTATACTAAAGTAATGTGAAAAGATACACACAGAAGAAATTTTACTGTAGTGATGTTTATAATAATGGAAATATCTTCATTCATTCATGAATACGTACTGCCTATTTTATGCCCAATCTGGTTCTAATCACTGAGAATTCTTAGTGAAGCAGACATACAGGGATCCTCCTTTCTGAGAGCTTATAGTTTGGGGCATGGTGACGGGAGACCAGCAGTAAACAACTACAGCTGCAAAGATGGTTCTGGTATCTGCCAGGGGCTAGGAAGGAAGGAATCGTGTTGATGAGCAGGTCAGGAGGCAGGAGAATGGATGTGCCTGCTTGACCTAGAGGCTCAGGAGCAGCCTGTGAGCAACTACATTCGAGCTGAGAACTGACTGATCAGAGGAATTCAGCAGGTGACCACCTGGGAGGTGAAATCTAGGCATGTTCAAAGCACTGAGATGATGATGGCCTTTGTTCCGGGAGCAAGGGGAGAGAGAAGTGAGATGACAGAGACAGAGGCTGCCATCCTGCAGGCCTGGTTAGTGGGGCCAGGCTGTGTTCCAAGTGCAGAAGGAAGCTGTTGGAGGGCCTCAGCCACGAGAGTGGTTCGATCTGCTAGGTCTTCCAAACAAGTGTCCACCACTAAGAACTGGTTAACTAAGTTTTATTACATGTGCTACCATACGTGCTATAGTGTGTGTATACAAAGTGTATGACCCTGTGTATGGAGACATGTTTGGGATTTCAGGTGAGTCTTTAGTTTTTCTTCTTTTATATATTGTAGTATTTGCTCAATGACTGTATCTCATTTTAATAAAACTTGTACTTTTTTTGTTAATCTCACCACTGACCCTAAATGCATTATACATCATTCACAAAAGCTCATGTTTGAGAAGAATTGTAAGTCCTTGGCCAAAAGTCATTCTGAATTTAATTTTCCATTTAGTTTTACTTTTCCTCTGCTTGATGGTGTTTTGTGTGTTGGGTGGTTGACAGTCAGTCATGATATTTGCTATTTTTCATTAATCCTGACATTCAACTTTAATACAACAGTAGATATGCATAATTGGCAGTGATGAAATATATTATTTTCTTCTTATTTCTTTAATAGAATGAAGAGTTGAGTATCTTATACCCAGCTGCCATTGTGACTATCGATGGATTTAGCCTTTTTCAGTCTCTTCGTGCTTGTCGAAATCAGGTAGCAAAAGGTAATTGTTTTTGGCAAGAAGTATCTAACTTCCAACTTCTTATTTAATTTAATCCACTTAGACAATTAAGTATGTCCTCTGAATTAAAAAGGCCTCCTGCACTAGATTTACAACAAAGACACTGTTTCTGTAGAAGCGGGAGTGCGTTGTCTGGTAGATGGCGTAGTAAGATAAAGGCAAGGGCTAAAAATCAGCACTCTGTGTATTGGGGTGAGAAGTTTCATCGCATGTAGCCCAGGGACCAAGTTCTCACTAGATCAGCAGCTGTTGGGCTGGTTCCGAGAATCTTGTGATTCTGCATTGAGTCCTCCATCCCCACCGAGGGCAATGCCACCCTTGTGTTCAGGGGGCATTTTATTTCCAGCCCCCTCCCGTAGACAAGACCCAACAAGGAGTCCTCACTGGCTTCTTTTTGCTAACCCAGAAAGCTTCTGAATGGAGAAGTTAGATGCCTGAGCGATGTGTATATGGGCGACTACGTTATTTCCAGACTTGGGGGTGAAAAATGCACAAATAAGAATTCTTTCTCATACTACTCACCGTTTACATTCTTGGGAAGAGGATACAGAGCAGAGTTGTATTTCATCAAATTCAAGGTGCCTTTGTTTGTAGATGCAGTAGTATCTGCAAAAATGCTGCCAGCAAAAAACATGCCATCGATTTTAAGATCCCAATTTTAGAAAAGCCTTAAGCTCACTGAAAACACCAGTACTAGACTTGCGCCGTTTCTTCTGGGTTTGGGTAGCGGGGCTCATAATGGCCCTAAAACAAAATTTGTTTTGTTTGCAGATTGATGCAATTGGTAAAATCCTGAGGTTTTGGTTATGTGAGTCTTCAATAGTACATGCTTTTGTATTTAGTCAGAACTTGTTTGAATTTTTATAGCTATTTTCATAATCTTTTAAATTACTTAAATTTAGGCACAATAAGCATCATTATCTTGGGGTCATTTAAAATAGTCACCATTAGTATATATGCCTAAAGAGACTGGCAGCTTTCTGCAGGTTAGAATTCAGTCAGTGAAATAAACTAGAAATAGATGATAATTATTGGTACCGTCAGCCATTTAGTTTTTATTATCTTTGAATTCCTGTTTATTTTTTGTGTTTAAGACCATAAAGCCGTTTGTCTCCTAGGAAGTAAGAAAGCCACTTAGTGCCCACTTGGCATAAGCTGTTCTAAAAAGAATTCTGATTACTTAGCCAACAAATTGTTGTGTCTTTTATTTCAACATACAGGAAAATTCTCTTTTCTTGGCCTTACTGTCAAATCTGAAGTACTTAGAGGAATCTATTTTCCCCTAATTGGAGTACTTCGCTTCCGGGAATAAACAGCCAGAACCCAGCTATATTCTCATTTGTGGCGTGAAACTTTACTGACAAGTAGGACCCTGTGCCCAGACCTATGGCAAGAGGTGTCACTATTGCTTTTCCTTTCATTGCTCGCTCACTGTTGCAAATACTGAGCAGAGACCGGCATTTTATTGATTCTTTCTGGCGATACTATTGCTGGTTATGTATCTTTCTATCAGGACTGGCCTTGGCTGCTACCTTCGAGCCCTTGCTGTGTGTGCTCCTGCAGGCACATCGTGTGGTTTTCAGTTTTTCACCAAGTTAAGGCACTAGTTTCTGTTCCTAGGATTTTATCCACTGTTTCTCAGGAGGGAGAAATTGTTTCTTTGTCTTCAATTGCAGTTTGAATTCACCTTAAAGTTTAGTAGTAGTCTAGAATTAACAAAAAAAAATTTTTTAATGTTTTATTTTAAACATGTCACTGAGAGAGAGACAGTATGAGCAGGGGAGGGTCAGAGAGAGAGGGAGACACAGAATCTGAAACAGGCTCCAGGCTCTGAGCTGTCAATACAGAGCCTGATGTGGGGCTTGAACCCATGAACCATGAGATCATGACCTGAGCCAAAGTCGGACACTTAACCGACTGAGCCACCCAGGTGCCCCATTAGTAGTCTAGAATTTTTAATCGCCTTCTCCAACTACGTGAATGTTCCAAAATCTCTTGTGACCGTCACCTTGCTCTTTTAAGAGCATTGCATTTTGTGTATACTGTCTTGGCGTGAATAAAGTTCACTTTAACCTTGTTTTCATTGCCTTGCCTCATTATTATTATTGAAATTTTAAAGTAATAAATCAAGTTAATTATATTTTTAAAGTCTTTTTTTTTTTTTTTTAAACTTCACTTCATCCATTATGGTTAAGTTTGGATTGTTTAATTTTTGTCTTTAACAGCTGCAGCCTCCGGCAATGAGAACATACAGCCACCACCGTTAGCTTATAAGAAATGGGGTCTACAAGATATCGACACTATTATTGATCATGCTAGTATTGGTAAGCATCACTAGTTCAAATTCTTACGGAATTTACTTCTTTTGCTTTTTAATTGATGTATCTCACTTTTTAGAAATGTATATTCTTATGCGAAAGGAAATGTATTCATTGCCTTTGGTGAGACATTTGGAAGTTACTCCAGACTTATGGATTATCATAGGCTTGTATGTTTAAAAAGCGATAGCAGTTTTAATAATTAGGTGTTCAGCAGCAGTATAGTTTGTACAGGTTTAAGTCTTTCACTATTTGACTTAATTTTTTTTGCAGACAGTTTAGTTCATATAAGCACCATATAGATCAGTCTTCTAAAAATGTAACCTTTAGACTAGCAGAATACAGGTGAAGGCAGATTTCTCCTTGCGAGCATAATTGAAGACTCACTGTGCTAGGTACTGGGAACATAGATGGAAAGGACAGAGATGAGAAGACTTGGTCTCATCAGGGAAGCGTGAGTCTAGCTGGAAGAGCCACGTGGAAACGACTGCGGTCCCCAAGTGCGCTGGCTGGGGTTGGGGGAGAGGGGCGGAGGAGAAGCCCCTGGCGCCGAGGGAGGTATGGAGCAGCGTCTGAACTCAGTCCGGAATTGGAAGGATGAGCAGGACTTGATCAGGAGCAGCAGCACAGAGGCGGGATCCTAGCCAGTGTGTACTACGTGTGAGGCAGGAAGTGCAGTGCGTGCTGTAGAAATGATGGGTTCGGGGAGAACTGACAGGCAGACGTAAACAGGAGTCAGATTTGGAAGGGACCAGTGTACTGCACAGAGGAGTTTAGATCTTCCTCCCAGCAACACTGAGAGCCACTGGAGAATTTGGAGCAAAAGAATGGTATTATCACTTAGCCTGTTAGAAAAATCACTTTGGTAGTTTTTAGTGCCTGTAACATTGGGGTCATGACTAGAAACTAGGTGCAGTAAGGATACTTGGTAAGAAGTAATGGGTTTCTGAATTAACATAGTAGAAATGGAGTGTAGAAGAAAATACGGTTTAAAAATATGTGTATTTTTCTGTTTACCAATATGTTATATGCTTACTAAACTCAAATAATACAAAAGTATATAAAGAGGCAAAGAAAAAATATCCCCTTAAACTCTACACCATCCAGAGATACTCACCATTGGCATTTTGGTGAACATCCTTATAGACTTGGGTGTGCAATGCATGCGTGGTATGTATATGGTTATAGCGAGAAATAGGTTTTCATACATAGGATTATATCGTACCAACCGTACTATACCCCTTTTCTGATCAACATGTTGTAAAGAGCCTTTCAATCAATTTTGCTGAATACACATTTTGTCAGGGTCCTGACAGAAAACTGGTGGCACCCTTGAAATGGGACAATTAAGACACGTTTTGTTTATAGAGAAATGAGAAAGACGCGGTGCAGGGAAACCACAGGGACGTAGGGCATCTCCGGGCTTCTCAGCAGCCCAGCTCTTAGCCGCTCCTGGGCCAGGAGGGGTGCGGGCCTGGGGCAGGTCCCGAACTGGGAGGTCAGGAGTAGGGTCCGAATCTTAAGAGCAGGAAGGCTTTTGTGCTTATGTCACAGGGAAGTAGGTGTCCTGACTTCATTTTCCATCTGTCTTTGATCTCCTGGTGAGACTTTCTGTTGTCTGAAGCCAGTGGACGTCAGCCGGCCCTGGGAGTGGGTGGGGAGAGCCGGAGTGTGAGTTTGCAGGGCGGAAGGAGGGTACCTGACACACACATCCCTTGGCTTATTGCTACCTCGTTCTCATGTGGGGCACGCTGCAATAAGTACCTTCTTGTAGACATTCAGTGTGTCTTTACTGATTTGCTAACATAAAAATACTGCAGAATTCCAAAGGGTTGAGTTCAGTTCAGGGTGGCTTCCCTGTTCTGTTAATTGAACTTTGGAACATGGAAACGGGCTAGGAAAAACGACTGGATAGAAAATATTATTCTATTCATTTATCTCCCAGCCTACAAAATGATGAGAGGAAAAAAAAAAAAAAGGGCACAATGGACTTTATATTATATGTATATCTTTATGTTAAAGTTTTGATGAACTCATTCAACAAGTAAGTCAACAGCTAGTATGTCCTAGGTGCTAATATTGGGGCTAGAAATACAAGGCAGACAGAGCCCCATCCTGATGAAGCTTATATTCTGTGATAGGGAGGTACACGATAGACAGTTAAGCCAAATGAATAACTATGGTAATATCCACATGTTAGTATGCATCATGAGGAAAATAAGCAGAAGATTATGATGGAGAGTGAAAGGAAGGGGTCATTTCAGGTGAGCAAAGGGCTCTCCAGGGAAGTGACACTCAGACTGAGACGCAGGGTGGGAGGAAGGGCCAGCTTCGGGAAGAGGTATAGGAAGAGCATTCCAGGCAGAGGAAGCAGTGAAGAGATAGGCCTGCGGGGCCTCAAAGTCCTGAGAAACGGGAAGGAGGTCCCTGCGACTCTGTTGTAAAGAGTAAGGGGAGTGGCGCCTGGGTGGCTCTTTTGGTTAAGTGTCTGACTTTTGATTTTGGCTCAGGTCATGATCTCGTGGTCATGAGATCGAGCCCCATCTGGAGCTCCGTGCTGGGCTCCGTGCTGGGCATGGAGCCTGCTTAACATTCTCATAATCTCTCTCTTTCTATAAATAAAAAGGGGCCAGGGAATAGGACAAGGAAAGGTTGGAGATTAAGGCTGGGGACAGATCACTTAGGGTAAAGAGTTTGGATTCTCTCTAAATACAGCAGATGTCACTGATGGAGTCCAGGTACGGGGCATTTAAAATTATCCTGACTGCTGCTTCGAGAGAGCTTGGACAATAAAAAGTAAAAGCAGGAAGACCAGTAAGGAGTTTGTAGCCGTGAGGGAGAATGGCGGCCTTGCCTGGAGACGAAGCCGAGGAGCTGGGGGAGGGTGGACACATTGAGATCCTTTTGTAATTGGTAGGGGATGGATTTGAGAAATTAAAGAAAGGAAAGATTGAGGGATGTCTGATTTTTTAAAGTTGAATGGATGATCAGACTGTTTACTGAGATGAGAAATAAGAAGAAGGAAGAGGTTTGAGGTGGACAGATCAAGTTAGGTTCCTTACAGGTTAACTTCTGACACAATCACACATTCAAATGGAGGCATCAAGTAGGCAGATACATGTCTAAAGTTTAGGGAAGAAGCCCAGCTTATTGACATAAATCTGAGAGGGAGTGGTTGACCATGGAATGCTTCATGGAGTTCAAGAAAGGGAGAAGGTCCATTGGATTTGGCAACATAGAGCTCTTCTTGGAGTCTGATGTGAGCACTTGAGGTGGAGCTGTGAGGAAGGCCAGCGTGGCGCAGGTTGAAGAAGAAACATTTCCACCTCTATTTTCAGAAATTAGAAGCACAAGAACAAGAAACTGGATCACAGCATCTCTATTTTTATGTCCAGTCTTGACCTCTTCCTTAAAATTCATTTCCATAAAGTTCATTTTCCCGCTCCTACTGAACTTTTCCACCAGCGTATCCAAACTTACCACATCCAAATCAGAATTCTTGCTCTCCTCCCCCAAACTCGTTTCTCCTCTTTTCTTCCATATCCTCTCTTCTGTTGCTCACACCCAAAGATTCTGAGTCAGCTGTGACCCCTCCTTTTGCGGGTTTTTCACTCCGCACTCACCCACCTCGTCTCTTCGTGCGCAGTAGGCCCTGTCTGACCACCGCTCATCCCCACTGCCGTGAGCATCGTGGTCCAAGCCACCGTCATCTCTTGCCTGAACGATTGAGGAACAAACCGTTCTAACTGGTCTTTCTGCTTCCTTTCTCCCCTCTCTAAAATCTCTTCACCAGTTTGCAGCTAATCGCCTTTTGAAATAGAAGTCCTGCTTTTGTCACTCTTCTGTGTAAAATGTTTTCATAGTGGCTTCCTGTCTTATTCCTAATAAAACGCAAAGGCTTTACAGTGGCATCCAAGGCCTCACATCGCCTGGTTTGTGGTGTGTCTTTACCTTCTCTTCTCTTGGACCCCCCCGAGTGTTACACCGCGCTCCTCTCCCCGTCGTTCCTCAGATGCTCCAGGCGGCCTCCCGCTTGACAGCATTTGTGGCTATGGCTCCTTTGCCTGGGAAACTCTACCCAGCTACCCGCATGGCTCTGTCTCTCTCACTTTGTTCCGGTCTCTGCTCAGGTATTATTTTATCAGAGAGGTCTTCTTTAGCCCCTATAATAGACCTAGGAAATGATCCATCGAGTTTGACTTTATGGAAATTTATATTAAGATTTAAGTTAATATTTACATTTTAATAGTGATAATATTTAATAAATAGTGGTTTAATGTTTAATAATAAATTCTATTTCAAATTAGTACTTGTTATATTTATATAAATATTTTAGTGTGTATTTTAACTGTACATTATAATTTTATAATATTAACATTTATACTAAGTTGTTTCAAAGTGTGGAAAGGCCTAAGATGTTCTGGAAGAACACAAAAAATTCGCATCTAAGGAAATATAGTAGGCAGCTTGTCTCAGCAGTAATATTTGCCTCGTTCTTAATAATGAAAGCAGTGAGTGTATATTTAATAAAAATTGAAAATTGTGTGTATTGAACAAAAAATTGAAATATGTGTATATTGAAAGTATATGAGGGGAGGAGGAGGGGCTGTCAGTAAGCTGTATCTTCATTTACTTTAAATCATTGAAAAATAATGCTCAGATTGATGACTCAACAGACCACGGGGCTCTTGATTTCACCACTTTGCCGCAGTACAGAGAGCAGGACAGCACATTAACACCTCCGGGGTGCAGTCAGCAAGTCGTAGGCTGTGGGAGACCAGTGTCACGGAAGCATGGGGAAGGGTCAAGGGGTTTCGGGCTGGTCCTGTATGCCCATTTCTTTGTGAGCCTTATTTTGAAACCCAGATGTATTATTTTTTTTTCCTGGCAATGATCAGCTGTTCCGTAAACAGAAAAAGCAGAAAGTTTAGGTCCATCACAGTTAGGATTTGACCAGAGGAGTGTGCGAGAAGGACACAGGGCAGTTGTAGGGGTCTGCACGAGTGATGATGACAGAGCACAGATCTAAGCTGGAGAAGAAGGGACGTGAACAGAGAGGCTGCTTGATAAATAGTGGAAAGTAGGATTAATGAACTGAAACTCTTGAGATGGTCATCAAAATGTGGTATGCTTGAAATCACGGTTTCAAAGACTGTGCAGTTGACAGGATCTAAGGTGTGTGTGGCATTGGAAGTGGATGAGGGGAATTGTGGGAAGGGGAAGATCAGTGGTGAGGATGGAAAGAACTGGTCAGCCATCTCTTTAGAATAAACCCACTTCACATTTTGATACATATTAGAACGTTGTCTTCTGGACAGCTTGTAGCAATTTATACTGCCCCTGTAGCCTGTGGGAGTATAGGGAGAAGTTATCTAAAGAATTTTAATTTATTTTGGGGGAGAGAGCGCACACGTGCAAGAGAGCACGTGTGCAGCATAGAGGCAGAGAGAGAGGGAGAGAGAGAATCTCAGGCAGGCTCTGTGCTGGCTGCGCAGAGCCCACCATGGGGCTCGATCCCATAACACTGGAATTGTGACCTGAGCTAAAATCAAGAGCTGGACTCTTAACTGACTGAGCCACCCGGGAGCCCCAAGAGAGGTCATTTTAAAACTTTAATATATGTCACACAATTCACCCTTTGATTTCATTCTGGTAGTGTCAGGCCAAACTTACACAGATTTTTATCATGTCGTAAAAACATTTTGTATATTGAATCATGAATTCCTTCATGAATGTGGGACAGGTGTTATGCTCTTTCGGAATAGTTCAACTTCTACAATTATTTGATCACCTTAATCCCTCAATCCAACAAATGGTTTGCTCATGCTCTCCCTAAAAGTATTTCTTTTCCTAGGACTCTTCTTCAGGAACAATGTGTTTTTTGACTATTTGCAGGCAGAGTTGAGGCAGTACCTATATATGATAATTAGGGTAATTTATGTTGCATTCTACCGTGTATTTGAGTTCAGAACTTTCCAAATGGGTATCTTCATGGACCATGTGGGTACCCAGGTACCACACGTGTGCCTGAGTCCATTAGGTTGAATCTTAGCAGCTCATCTTTACTTCCTGGATCTCTAAGCTTATTCCCCCACCTGCTGCCCCCATCTTTCTCTCCCTGCCCCTCAGGTGAATTTACATGACCTTGGTTTTTCCTCTGCTACTCTACACAGGCATGTGGGTGTCAGCATCAGTCTGTCTGTCTGCTTTTACCATTAAAGCCTTGGGAAAATGAAAAGTTAACTCTTTTTTCAAAAAGGTTGGGGATTCCTGGACTACAGAGTAGAGGTGTGAAAGTGTGTGTTTTTGCTGTGTTGGGAGGGGTATGGGAGCATAGATGCTCTCTCACCTTTTTGGTGGGCATCTAAATTAGTGCCACCTCTATGGAATGCAGTGTAACAGTACTTAATAAAATGTTTAAAAATGTGATCTTCTCTGAGAATTTCTGTCTATAAGAATTTTCCATACAGATTAACTTATGTAGGTTTCCAAAGACATATCAAAGGTATATATCGCAGTGTTATTGGTACTGGCAAAGATGGGAAACAACCTAAATATCCATCAGTAGGTCAGATCAGTTACGGTATGGCCGTAGTAGAATGTTCTGGGTGGTTGAGAATGGGGTGTGTCTCTGATATTAATTAAAAAAGGAAGGCACACATGCTTTGACTTGGCATGCTGTCATGTATTGTACAAGGTCTCTGGAAGGTGCATGAGCGACAGCTTCACCTGATGCCTTTAGCACCTGACTGATGCCGCAGATCTAGGCAGACTGTATACTTTTGTACTGTCTGGACTCTGTATGTGTCAAAAAGTTAATACTGAAATTTTGTCATATTTTATGGCTTAGAGGAATAGGTGGCACTTTTAATACCTTATGAATCTTTTATGACATTGATTTTATAGCTTTTAAAAATGACTTGTATCTGTTACATAAAACTAAGCAGTTTGCATCTTTGAGTGGAATCGAAGTAAAAATGTAATGATCTAAAATGACAGTGTCATTTCAGTGCATTTAGCTCACGTGCTGTTGCTGTTGTCTTATCATTAGGTATTATGACTCTGTCCCCTTTTGATCAAATGAAGACTGCTTCCACTATAGGAGGATTTAATGCAGCCATTAAAAACAGCCCACCCGCCATGTCTCAGTATATCACTGTCGGGTCCAATCCATTTACTGGCTTCTTCTATGCTTTAGAGGTAAGAGTTTTGTCACTGATCACGAGAAAGTCCTCTCTTGGGCTTTCACCTTGTCTGCACGTTGGATATTGTAAGTTAGCCTTAGAAAGATGAGGCAGTTTACATTTCTAAGTTTCAATTTAAGTTAAAATTCGTCCCCACTGACTTTCTTCTAGATTCTTCAGGTGAACTGAAAAGGTACTAAAGTCAGTGTAAGACAGACAGACTTGTCTGTTTCAGATGCCTCAGGTTCCTGAACGGTGATTTGTCTTTAAACACTGGTGCCCTGAACAGGGGCTCCGGGTTATTCGTAGCCCCCGAGATGGGAGTTGTAAAGGGATTGTAAAGTTGCTGGCTGGGGCTGATGGCGGCGGTGAAACTTGGTTCCTAAAATAGGGGAGAGTTAGGTGCTGGACTTGGTGGCTCTTATATCTCGCTTTAAAAAAGGCTTTTTTACAATTGTCCAAACTATCTTTTTACTTTAATAAAAATATATGTCAAAAGAAAAAAAGGGACAAGAGCCAGTTGTGTGTAGATGGGAAATCCACAGCCTTGCTAGAATAGTGCCATGTTAATGTCCTAGCTTAAGCTTTTTTTTTTTTTTTTTAAATTTTTAATGTTTTATTTATTTCTAGGAGAGAGAGAGAGAGAGAGAGAGAGCAGGGGAGGGTCAGAGAGAGAGGGAGTCACAGACTGAAACAGGCTCCAGGCTCTGAGCCGGCAGTCAGCACAGAGCCCGACGCGGGGCTCGAACCCACGAACCACGAGATCATGACCCAAGCGAAAGCCGGACGCTTAACCGACTAAGCCACCCAGGCGCCCCGTAGCTTAAGCTTTTTAAATTAAATTACAACTTAAGGAGGCTAATCCTGAAGATAAAATAGACTCGTAGTGATCTTTTAAACTGTCGAGTTAAAACTTCTGATGGTGTTGCTAAAATAGTTTTTATCGTACTCTCTGAAAGATGCTGAAGATTTTTGCTGGTCCGGGCTTTACAGAACTTTTAAAAGTAAGCCTTGTTTAGAAATATATTTTGGGTGTCAGCTGTTACATGTTCCCTTTCAAATGTCTTGTTTTTCAGGGAAGCACACAACCACTGTTATCTCACGTCGCCCTGGCTGTCGCAAGCAAGCTCACGTCGGCTTTGTTTAACGCCGCCAGGTAGTGACTTAGACGGCTGCCTGCGACACGATCTAATTTGTATCTAGCTTCATTTTCACATCCGTTTTCATAATCGGCACATTGGAATGTTGGAAGCCCCAGTTTTATTCTAGATTCTCTTTCTTGTCAGTGGTTGGCTTGGCTGGAAAAGTAAGCATGAGGAGGAGGCGGTGCAGAAGCAGAAGCCGAAGGTGGAGCCGGCTGCCCCGTTAGCTGTAAGGCAAGTTGGCCATGCCCGTCCCCCGTTGTAGTGTTTGGGAAAATGTGCCGTGAGATTTATGTCTTTCTGTCTGTCTTTCTTTTTTAATGTTTATTTATTTTTGAGAGAGAGAGAAAGAGACAGAGTGCAAGCAGGGCAGGGGCAGAGAGAGAGGGAGACACAGAATCTGAAGCAGGCTCCAGGCTCTAAGCTGTCAGCATAGAACCCGATGCGGGGCTCGAACCCACAAACCATGAGATCATGACCTGAGCCGAAGTCGGATGTTTAACCAACTGAGCCACCCAGGCGCCCGTCTGGTCTTTCTGTGAGCTCTGTTGAATTGTTGATCTCGTGAGTTTGTGGAGCTTCTGAAAGTCATTAATGTGAGACGTTTTCTGTCGGAATATAAACTCCATGAGGAAAGTGATTCTCCCATGTTTTGTTCACAGCTGTCTCCCTGTCATAGAGTAGGCTCTCCGTGTGTGTTTGCTGAGTGTGATTTCTGACAAACACCTAGAACCTTAGCTTAAGTTTTAGGAAAATTACTTCTGTGATAGCTGTAGAGTTTTTTTGGTTAGGTTTATTTATTTGAGAGAGAGAGCAAGCATGCATAGGGAGGGACAAAGAGCAAAAGAGCGAGCGCATCCCACGCAGGCTCCGTGCCGGCAGTGTGGAGCCTGACATGGAGCTCCCATCCCACATGTGGGATCATGACCTGAGCTGAAATCAAGAGTCGGATGTTCAACCAACTGACCCACCCCGGTACCCCAGATAGTGGTTGAATTTTTTTTTTAATACTTCAGTTTGTCAGTCAGCTGTGTAAACTTAAAAAGTGCTTAGTGATTTCTTTAAAAAACAAAAGCGAGGAGTTGCGTGCATTCAGGCACTCCGAGGAAGCAGGCTTGTGCCTTTTTGTTGACTTCCCTGGTGCTGTAGGATACAGTGTTCGTCAGGGTGTGCTGGAGAGGGCCTGATTTTTGCTTGATTCTGTTTTTAAATCGTTTTTGTTACCTAATATAAAATACTACCATGAAGGGAAACAGAACCCCCCCCCGTCGTAGATGTTCTTCAACTAAAGAGATAATGAACTGTTATTAAACTTTATTGAAGACTATCCTCTAAGGTTGTTTCATCTTATTTTAAAATATTGTAACACCTCACATTTTCTAAATTCACTTAAGAATCAAGACGTAAGCCCAAGTGCCCTCTGCCTGCACACAGATGTAACAGAATTTGGGCATTTTGTCTTGGGCTTTTCTCAAAGTGGGTCCTTTTGCAGTAGCTCTTTTATCTTGCAGTTCTAAAAGGTTGGTTATGGAACAAGAACAGTTTAAAGAATTATTTAGGGGCACCTGAGTGGCTCAGTTGGTTGAGTGTCCAACTTAAGCTGTGTTGACAGCTTGGAGCCTGGAGCCTGCTTCAGAGTCTGTGTCTCCCTCTCTCTCTGCCCCTCTCCAGCTCATGCTCTCTCTCTCAAAAATAAACATTAAAAAGGATAATAAGATAATAAAAATAAAGGTAATTATTTAGAAGAGGGAGAGTTCTTCAGGTAGGTATGCTGGTGTCAGCAGGAAATGACATCTAGCAGAAAGTAGAGGTTAGAAATATGAACTTAAGGGGTACCTGGATGGCTTAGTCGGTTAAATATCCAACTCTTGTTTTCAGCTCAGGTCATGATCTCACAGTTGTGAGATCAAGCCCTGCATCCAGGCTCTGTGCTGACAGCCTGAGGCCTGCTTGGGATTCTCTCTCTCTCTCTCTGTCTCTCTCTCTCTCTGCCCCTTCCCTGCTTGTACTTTTGTGTGCTTTCTCTCAAAATACATATTTAAAAAAAATGAACATAGAACAGATGAAATATGCCTGTGTAGGAGCATAGTATTCTAAAATTTAATTGGTCACGAGGGTACTGTTTCCTATGACATAACACTTAATCAAGACAAGGTAGTTATACTTGATATTCTCTAAAAATATAAGATTATGGATACCTATATAGAAAAACTGTGAAATAAAACTTAACTGTTTTTGTTTTATAATGGAAGAAACTTTTTATGTATTTTGTGTTGCAAAATGTCTGGTATGATTAATAAATTATCCATTAATCCATGCAAAGTTTAATTTTATTTTTTTATCTAAAAACAGATTTGGCCTGTTTGTTTATGCATTTCATTATTCTGTTAACTTTTTCTAGATTGGAATCTGACTTGAGCTTTATATTTTCTTTTAAATATCAGATTTGGACTTCCAGATTCTAGACGCCACGGTGAAAGTATATGTCTCTCTCCGTGTAACACACTGGCAGCAGTAACAGATGATTTTGGCAGAGTTATTTTATTGGATGTAGCTAGAGGAATCGCAGTTCGCATGTGGAAAGGTACTTCCTTATAAAAATCTGGAAGAAAGTTAATTTGTTTTTTGCCCGTATAGTTGAGCGGTATCCCCATCCTTCAGCTTCTGGTTGACAGCACTGCTTACTTCACTATGTGTATGCTTGCTTGCTTTTCTTGTTAACAAGAACTCCCATCAACAACAGTTGATCTGATAATCCAGTTGATCTCTTCTTTAAGTTTGATCGCTTTATAGGCTTTTAATTTCTTCCTCATGTGCTTTTCAGTTCTGTCATTGTCCATTTTCTGAAGTCAGCTTCTTGCTCCCGTTAGATTCATTAGACTTCACGAGGTCATGCTTAAGTCCAGTGTTCTCTTTAAATTTAGAATACTGAGTCTTTCAAACTAAAGACAACAAAACCTAGCAAAACCCATCTTTGCTTATTTGGCTTCCATATCCATATGCTGGGGTCAGTTTACTTAAGTTTCTTAGTAACATGTCAGTCGGGAGTTCCAGTTAGTTGCTAATAAAAGACCCAGGTTCAGGGTTGTAATGATATGCCCATGCCATCCTCAGGAGCTCAGTCTCCTTTTATGTAGCTTCCCCACTCAAGGTTATTTCATGGTTCAAATGACTGCTGGAGCTCCAGCCTTCTTCTCTGAGTTCCACGAAGGAAGAAAGGAAGAAGACCTTCCAGCTGAGCCAGTCCACTTTGAAGATGGTTTCCCACCAAGCTTTTTCCACAGTGCGTTAGCCAGGACTCAGTCACATAGTCATACCTACTATAAGGGAGACTTGAAAATATCTAGGCACACTGTCAGCCTGAGAAAGATCAAATCTCTTTGACCAAGGAAGAAGGGGAGAATGCAGTTGTTGTTGTTGTTTTTTTTTTAATCCTTTGGAATAGTAATACGTCAGCCCAGACTCCTGGTTAGAAGTCACAGTTGTGATGCACTCTGGTCTCTACTTACCCGTGTGAGGAATAATGGATTTGAGGACATTAAATTATTCTGGACAGATGGAGGCCAGTATCACCTCCTTGTCAGAGAATTCGGCAGTGGTTACCTGTTACATGTTTAAGTGTCTATAGACGTAGGTTTCAGTGCTGTAGACACATCACTTCTCCTCGGTGTTTGTCTTCTGAAGTAACATCAAGGGTGGTTCTCAGCAAGGCTTTTCCAGAATACAGAAGACCTAGGTGCCCCAGTGGGATCCACTGCAGTGATCATAGTGGCGGCATTGTGGCCTTCCCTGCTGCAGCTGTTGCCGTGTCCCCCATACCTGGAAGAGAGGGGCCCGTGGCCTGTGGAGGGGCCTCCTTGAGATGGAAGACCATGTCAGCCGCCTCCTCTTGGAGGCGGGAGCTTCCTGCCACCACCTTGCACCCCATTCCCCGTCTACACGGCACCACAGGATTTGAAAAGCACGAAATCAAGTTGATCTTTTTCTTCTATTTTAATGGGACTTTTATTCAAAATCCAAACCTGGTAACCTTCCCCAGAGTTTTCGAAGGGAAAGAATTTTTTAAAGAGAAGGAGGGGAGAGAATGGGGTCAGGGAAGGGACTCATGAAGCCTTAATGATACCTGTTTTCTTTCTAAAGAAAAAGGGTGATCAGAAGCAAATTTAACAAAATTCTGAGATTTAGTAAGACTTGGTGATTGAGTTGGTATTTGTTACAATTAGGATTATCTTTTCTGATGAAAAGATCTGATGAAGCTATTTCACAATAAAAAGGTAATGTGCTTCCATAGCTGCTCTGAAACTCCTGGCTAAAATACTCCACAGTGCTCTGGAAAGCTGCGATTGAACTTAGATTAATTAACTAAATAGCTGTCCTTTTCCTCTGTCTCGAAGGGTATCGAGATGCACAGATCGGTTGGATGCAGATCGTTGAGGACCTCCACGAAAGGGTACCAGAAAAGGCGGATTTTTCCCCCTTTGGAAATACTCAGGGTCCAAGTCGCGTAGCTCAGTTCCTTGTGATCTACGCACCACGAAGGGGAATCTTGGAGGTGTGGAGCACACAGCAAGGGCCTAGGGTGGGAGCTTTCAACGTGGGAAAGCACTGCAGGTGAGCCACACACCCTGTCGTTATCCTGGTTACAGAAAAGAATGCCTTTATTAAAGTAAAGCTTTTATTAAAGCTGCTTACTAGATGGCAAGTGGCTTGAGAATTGCAGCGTTCCCTATTATGGTTTTTCCCTGTGAGTGCCTGGTATATAATTCAAGATTAAGTATTTAATAACAAAAAACTCTTACTGAAAAGGCAATGATATGCTACTGAATTTAATAAAGTGACCTGTGGAGCTGCCATTTGCCCCCATCCCTTACTTACGCTGTGGGGGCTCAAAAGGAGAGATTCCTTCAGATTCCCATGGTGATGATGGTCAGTGAGGTGAATGCTTTGTTTGCCACAGGCCTGTCATTTAGTTTTCTAGCACATTTTAACAAGGCAGCATTCTACCAGTCAAGTCTGCTTTACTTAGGTTTTTGGTATCAGTTAGTATTTATTTGCCTTACTAGTGCCCCTGAATCAAAAATAATGTAGGGGTCCCTCTCTATCATATAAGCACTTTTGGCATTTCTCCTTTCTCTGATATTCTTACTGTATTGGCATGTGATTTCCTCAGGCTTCTGTATCCTGGCTATAAAATAATGGGCCTAAATAACGTGACCAGTCAGAGCTGGCAGCCGCAGACTTACCAGATCTGTCTTGTTGATCCGGTGTCCGGAAGTGTGAAAACAGTACATGTTCCTTTCCATTTAGCACTGAGGTAAGAGCTGTCAGGTGTCTCTCTTCTGACTTTTCCATCCCGCATTTTGCTCTTTGTTTTGTAGTTACTTTGTTGTTGTTGTTGTTGTTGTTTTCTCATTAGACAGGTATCTTTAAAGTTAAATAGGAAGAACATAAGGAAAGAGAGAGTTGGAGTGTGTCAGACTTAGAAGGAAAGTGATTTCATATTCTGTAAGAATTTTTGTAATTTTTGTTTTAGCGACAAGAAGTGTGAACGAGCCAAGGACATGCACCTAGTGAAGAAACTGGCGACCCTGCTGAAAACAAAACCTCCCAATCTCGGTGGGTGTCCTTCAGTGAAAATAATAAAGCATGCTCTTCCGTCATTTTCTAAATTAATAGCGTATTCTAAATGGAGCAATCGAAATAGTTCAGTTCAGGGGCACCTGGGTGGCTCTGTCGGGTAAGCATCTGACTCTTGATTTCAGCTCAGGTCATGATCTCGAGGTCATGGGATGGAGCCCCGGGTCCGCCTCCGTGCTGGGCGTGGAGCCTGCTTGAGACTCTCTTTCCCTCTCGCTCTGCCCCTCCCCCTACTGGTGTGTGTGCTTGCTCTCTCTGTCTCTCTAAAAAAAGTTCATTTCTGAGAAGTTGCAGTTCCTTAAGATAAGGTGAGGTGCAAGTAATCCTGTATATTTCTTATCAGAATTGCTCTGTAAAGATGCAGCTTGCTACCTGGGAGATGTTAACATTCATGCAAAATAACAATGTGAGAGAACCCAGAAGTCCTTTAGACTGACTGATAGTTAGAAATATATGCAGTTCTTTTTTTTTTCTGGATAAAATTTGCCTTATAATAGTAGTGAAATATTTACTTTGGTTAATTTTCTCTTTGTAGATTTGGTTGAAACAGAAATAAAGGGATTAATTCTTGATATTAAGTATCCTGCAACCAAGAAACAAGTAAGTATGTAGGTAAACTTTCCTGCTGAGTAGCTGTGACCTATTTCTCTTAAGAAAGGCTTTGTTTTCCTTTTCCCCTCTAAACATGACAGGTTAACGTCTTTCTTTTCATGTTTTTATTCATGCATCCTTTTTATCTTTATATATGGAAGTTCCTGTTGTTTCTTTCTCCTATTTCTTTTAAAAATTAATAGTACCATACACATGTATGCATGTTTTAAACATAGACACACATATCTATACATAGCATTTATTCAGATTAAAGAATAATAGTAAACACATGTGTTTGACCGCCCACCTTAGGAAATAGAATGTTACCAGAACTCTGAAGAGCCTACTGTCCCTCCTCAGTCCCCTCCCCTCCAAGGCGACCAGTGTTCAGAATTTCGTGTTTCTCTTGTTTGCTTTTCCTTATATTATTTCTGTGTGGTTCCTTTAAAATATTGATGCATTTTCTGCCTTTTATAACTTTATAGAAATGGAGTCATGCTCCATGTCTTCTGTGACTTAGTTCATTCCTTCAACACTGTTTCTTTGAGGCACCCATGTTGATGTATGTACAGTTGATTCATGTACTGCACGTACTGTATGTACTCTATGCAGTCCTGTACTATATGTACTCGTGAGCTGCGTGTACTATATGTACTCATGTACTAGATGTACTGTATGTACTCTGTACTCCCGTACTGTGTGTACTCATGAACTGCGTGTACTCTAAGTACTCATGTGTTGTATATTCTGTATGCAGTCCTGTACTATATGTACTCGTGAGCTGCGTGTACTATATGTACTCATGTACTAGATGTACTGTATGTACTCTGTACTCCCGTACTGTGTGTACTCATGAACTGCATGTACTCTAAGTACTCATGTGTTGTATATTCTGTATGCAGTCCTGTACTATATGTACTCGTGAGCTGCGTGTACTATATGTACTCATGTACTAGATGTACTGTATGTACTCTGTACTCCCGTACTGTGTGTACTCATGAACTGCATGTACTCTAAGTACTCATGTGTTGTGTATTCTGTATGCAGTCCTGTACTATATGTACTCATGAACGATACGTACTGTATGTACTATATGCACTCATGTGCTACATGTACTACGTGTACTCACGAACTGTACGTACTCATGTACTATCTGCACTCCTGTACTACATGTGCTGTGTGTACTCATGAACTACATGGACTGTATGTAGTCACGTACCATATGAATCCCGTTCTGTGACTGTACTTTCTTCACTCTCCTCCTGTCAGTGGGCATTTAGGTTGTTGCCAGTTTTTTGCAATTACAGTGACACTGTGATTATCCTTGTACATAGGATACTGTATCTTTGTTTCCTGCTGTAAGAGTTCTCCTGAGTTTTATGCCTGAGAGGGGAACCTGTAGGGTACCAGCTTTGCTAGCTTTACTAGTTGATCAAAAATTGCTTCTCAAAATACTTGTGCTAATTTGTGTTCTCACTCATGCTGTGTGAGGCGCTGGTGCTCCACAGCCTCAGCGTCCCGTGGGATAGCCAGACTTCTTGAGTTTTGCCGGGTTTGTGACACGAGTATGACAATTCACTGTGATTTCCTTACTCGCACCCTCTTATCCAAAACCCTCATACTGCTGCTTGACTCTCTGAATTCTTATATAACACTTCAGTCCCCATGGGCATCTCTGAACTCCTAGTCAGAACCAAATAGCTAATGGCTACTTGTTTTCTAATTACTTGATGTACATGGGTTAGAGCTCACCAGTTTTTTCCTTTTTACCTCTTTTAAGCCCCTTCAAGTAGGGACCTCACCAAATATGTCTGTTTCATAATCCACAGCCACTAAGCAATGCTAGATGTGTGGAAGAATTTAGTGACTACTGATTTCTCATCCCCTTTTCCTGTGGCAGCCATTTTGTCAAAATACCTTTTCTTGTTTTAGTGTAGAACAGGCAAGTCCCTGTGACTTTTCATCCAGCTTCCATTCTGACAGGGCTAATTAGCTCTCATTTTCCTCAGGGCAGCGCTCGGTTATGGAAGCTGACATTGCTCTGACAAGGCGGGCATCCAGGAGAGGTCGTGTGGAGAATCTGTAGAAAGGGAGGGTCTTGTCTAAACAGGGCTTCTCATTCTGATACCATCTTTTTTACTTATCTTACATCCTGGAGCGACAAAACTGGGAATGTTTGCATGCTACAGACTGTCGTCTCGACCTTTTTAAAAAATTACACTACTGAATAGTATGTGAGACTATGAATTTTATTAAAGATGCTGGAAAAGCTGATAGAATTGTGTATCATTTTCAACGTTAAAGGGGGAAAGGGAACCAGGTTAGGCTTTGGAAGACTGAACAAATAGGCAGCCAGCTGCCTGCTTGTGTGAGAGTAGTACAGAGGCAGTTACATTTTTCTACGTATGTGCCTTTTTCAAAAGTCACTTTTGGGAGTGTCCTAAAACGTCTTACCGGTGCAGTTTCCCTTGGGAATTTGGGGCCTTGAAGGTGTAGGTATAAATACAGAACTTAAAAGGCAATGATTTTGTTTTCTAATTGTTGGAATTGCTCAATGTCTGTCTTCTAGGCTTTGGAAAGCATTTTGGCAAGTGAACGTTTACCATTTTCCTGCCTTAGAAACATCACTCAGACTTTAATGGACACTTTAAAAAATCAAGGTAATAGGGTTTGTACTGATTGGAGGTTCTGGTCTCACTTCAGATTTCACACTTCTGATTATAGAAAGCTGTTCCTGTTAAAGGTACCATGATGTTACTTTGGTGTGGAAATAATACGTATAAGACATAAGTATTTGGAGATTTTACTCCCTATTTGGTGTCTGCAGCTGATCTTCATCGGGCTTTCTCTGAATATAAAAATATTCCTCTTTCAAATCTCTCTACTGGGAGGAAAGATGCCAGCACAGGATGGCGAGAAGTGGTTATTCTGATACAGTTGTACACGTGTGAAAGCCATCAGCATGGGAATGAAATGAGCTGGCGGTGTCCCAGCCACGTTCCCTTGCTGGCACTGTCTTCTGTTTACCTTTATGGAAGGAGAACAATTTCTGTAGATGCAGCGTTCTTTAATTTTGTTTTGACAAAGAAAATGATAAAAAATTTATGCATTGAATTAATATTCTATTAGTGTATAGAATCCACATTTTCTCATCCATGTTCACACTTTCTCATGTTCCCTCAGGAACAATAAGACTTCCCAAATCAGACCATGAGTAAATTTTTCTGTTTTTTCTGGTTTGTTTTTGTTTTTGTTTTGCTATTCAGAATTTATTTGTCTGAAAAAGAATTACATCTCTGTCTGTAGGATTTTAACTCTGTACTCTAGCTAGCCCAGCAAAATTAAATTTATTCAGAATCCCTAACATCAATTAAATTGTAGTGTGCAATTTGCAGACTTCATCTAGTTGTGACTTTCTGCTTGTCATGGTAATTATATAAAGCCAGCTTTATATTTATATTTAAGCCAACTTAAAGTGGTTTAATTAGCAAATCATAGTACCCTCTTTCAAGACTTTCAGCATCCTAATTTTGAGATTTTCTTTCTCAACACATATTTAAAGCTGACTTTTGGAAAATAGTGAAATTCTTCAGTGCATACAACTTGTTAGAAAGGCCCATTAAAAAGCATAGTATGATTCTAAAGCTCCTCTGTCCCTCAAGGCATTATCAAAATCTCAAAATTTATTAAATCAGAATTTATCTTGCACTGAGCTGAGGGTAAACCAAGCACCACTGTTGGAGCTCTATCAAATCATCACTAGTTTCAAGTTCTGCACATAACTAGGATTCCTAAATCTTTCACCTATTTAATATGCTAATTTTTATTGTGACTATAATAACTCTTGGAGATAAAGTGTCTTTTGAAATGATAGTTGTTGGGGCGCCTGGGTGGCTCAGTTGGCTAAGCGTCCGACTTCAGCTCAGGTCATGATCTCGCGGTCTATGGGTTTGAACCCCCGCATCGTGCTCTGTGCTGACAGCTCAGAACCTGGAGCCTGTTTCAGATTCTGTGTCTCCCACTCTCTCTCTGCCTCTCCCCTGCTCACGCTCTGTCTCTCTCTGTCTGAAAGATAAATAAGCGTTAAAAAAAAAAACGTAATGAAATAATAGTTGTTTTATATTAGGTAATATTTAAATTGCCATACAGGAGAGGTGCCTGGGTGGCTCAGTTGGTTAAGCGTCCAACTTCAGCTGAGGTCATGATCTCATGGATCGTGAGTTTGAGCCCCGTGTCAGGCTCTGTGCTGACAGCTAGCTCAGAGTCTGGAGCCTGTTTCAGATTCTGTGTTTCCCTCTCTCTCTGCTCCTCCCCCACTGGCATTCTGTCCCTCTCAAAAATAAATAAAATGTTAAAAATAATTTTTTTAACTGCCCTGCAGGAATGTTTTATACAGAGACTATTTCTCTAGTATTAAACTTTCTTTAAGAAGCCTGGTGGGAGCGCCTGGGTGGCTCAGTTGGTTAAGCATCCCGCTTCGGCTCAGGTCATGATCTCACAGTCTGTGGGCTCAAGCCCCCCGTCGGGCTCTGTGCTGACAGCTCCGAGCCGGTCTTCGGATTCTGTGTCTCCCTCACACTCTGCCCCTCCCTCTCTCACGCTCTGTCTCTCTCCATCTCTTAAAAAAAAAAAAAAAAAAAAAGGGAAGGAAGCCTCGTGGACGGATGTAAGGTGTCACTGTGGTCTCTTTTGCCACCTGCCTTGAGGATGACCTGCCACAGTCCAGCATCAATGCTCGAATTCTGAGACCTTTGACGCCAGATGCTGTGGTAACAGGAGGCAGCAGCGTTCAGTCATCCGTCCTCGGTGTGTGGCCATAATAGGCAGCTTATGAGTTCCAGGGCGAGGGAGATACTTTCAAAGCTGCTTTCAGAATAGTTTTTAAAAAGTTGATATTAGACTAAGAAAGCTCTTTTTTCTTTTTTTCGCCCGCCTCCCCCACCCCCCCACTACTATTGTGCCTCATTTTGTTTGAAAATGTGGATATTTTTCCGTGATGGGAAAATTATCTCTAACTAATCTGTCGTAGCTTATTAAGCATCTCAATATTTAATAAAACATCAGGGAAGTATATAAGACTATGAACGTTAATGAAAGAAAAATCTTTTGTGAGTCTGTTAAATAGATCTCTTTAATATATTTTTTCCCTCCACCTTTTAGAGCTTGAGTCTGTGGATGAAGGATTGCTACAGTTTTGTGCCAGTAAACTGAAATTACTCCATCTTTATGAGTCTGTCAGTCAGTTAAATTCTGTTGATTTTCATTCAGACACACCATTCTCTGATAATGTAAGTAATGCTGTTCCTCATCATACAAAATAATCTCTTGGATTATTTTTAATGTTTTAATTGATAGTAAAATAGAAAATTAAGAGATTTTATGAAACATAAAGGTGTATTTGCTTTATATGACACCCTGCTGGCTCTCTGTGCCTTAATGTTAAATTTGTATTATTTATACTAAGATATTACATTTTATTGTTAATCTGTTTTTACTATCCTAGGAGCATTGGTTTTTCTCATTTTTTTAAGGTTCCTTCATATCACATAAGTTTGACAAGATTTGCCAATTACATTATATTTAGTTTACTGAAGTAGAAAAACTTTAATTTCTTTTAAAATAAAAAAAAGGATTCTGCCAAACAGAAGAGACTGGCTTTTCTGTGGTGGTGCTGTAACCACATTCCTACACTTGCTCTGTTGTGTGCTAATGAGATACTTAACAGAATTCTGTCCATCATAGTGTTTCATTATAGTAACTGCTCCATGTTTTTATTCTGTAAAACATTAAAAAACGGCACGTTGTAATCATTACAGTGCAGTATTGCTCATTTCAGGAGCATGTACACAAAATTCTTACTTTCCATACAGAGAAATAAAGTTTTCTTAATAGGGAATAGAGAGAAATACTGGCGTTTCTTTCCCTTAGATTCGTGTGTGAGTGGGGACAGGTCGCTTGCCTTCAGGGCCTCATGTCTTCCGCTTTTCTCTCTAAAGGAAAAATTATTTAAGTGATTTTAGTTAGTTGTCAGGCCACTGATAATGCTTTTAGGAAACTACCAGGTGTATCTGAAACTTAATTGAAGTTTAAAGTTGAAGCCTTTTATTTTAAATATACATATGTGAATAAAAAATTTTAAACAGAAAAATGAGAGATTTTTCTCTCTGTATTGGAAACCACTTACACACTGTACCATCTTTTTATCTTTGGGATTATACATGGATTTCATAAAGCATTGTAACAGTCTTCATAATATTCTGTGATTGCCATTATAAATGATAAAGCCACATTTCGGAATCTTTTGTTTTTCTTTCTACTTCAGCATTACTGGAAAATCATTTCAAACAACAGAAGGGTCAGGCTGATTTAATTATGTCTGTAGGCTTGCCTAGACATTTCATAGATTCCTAAGTGCTTAAATTTTTTTAAGACCCCAAATCTCCTACTTCACCAAAGGAAGTTAAGTATCTGTCACTGATAATCCCTTATAGAATTCATTTCCACTTAATGGCCCCAATACAGTTTGCAACTATAAAAGATTTAGAAAATTTAAGAAATCGTTTCTTATCTGTTCTTTTTTTATTTGTTAATTTTTAAAGCACTTTTTAAAAAATGTTTTATATTTTTCTGAGAGAGAGAGCGTGAGCATGAGCAAGGGAGGGTCAGAGAGAGAGGGAGACACAGAATCTGAAGCAGGCTCCAGGCTCTGAGCAAGCTGTCAGCACAGAGCCCGATGCGAGGCTCGAACTCATGAACCATGAGATCATGATCTGAGCCGAAGTCGTACGCTTAACCAACTGAGCCACCTAGGCATCCCCCCCCCTTTTTTAATGTTTTATTTATTTCTGAGAGAGAGAGAGACCGCGTGAGCAGGGGAAGGTCAGAGAGAGAGGGAGATACAGAATCGGAAGCATTAAAGCACTTTTTAAGAACTAAAATGATATTTTGCTGTGGACTTTTAGGTCCTTCAAAAATATGCAATCGTTTTCTAGGCCGGATGGCCAGTACTGTACATATAAAACTAAAATTTAAATTTGAAATCATTTTTGGTGTCTGTGGCACATAGTTCATATAAGCTCATGTATCAGTTCAGTATAGAATTGAACTACTAGTGTTTGTTCATAGCACTTTGCAATTTACTGCTTGTTCTTAAAAGCAACAGCCTCACTAAATAAATAGAGGAAAGTTGCATTCTTAAACAAGAGCAGTTTTATCAGGTAGCATGGGGAGGAAAGAAAGTTGTGATTGCCATGGCAAATTTCTGGTCTTTTAAGCGCGCGCGTGCGTTTACCCCTAACAGAGTAATAATAGTATTGGGAGATGTTTTTGCACATATGGTATATAAAAATAGTTTGAAAGGCTAGCAAGATGTATCTGTGACTTTTTAATCTCTGTGTCCCTACGAGTTACATAGAGGATGTACATGTAGTTACAGTGACTGTTGGTTTCCAGTATTTTTTTATTTTACCGTGTTTATGCTTCTTACTAAACATTCAGTTTCAAATAGAATCACAAGGTTTTCTTAGAATCACAAGGGTTGCAGTTGATACTCTTGTAATTTTTTTCTGATTATACATTAATACAATTAGAGTGAAATCCAAACATTTTAGAAGAGTATATTCTCAAGAAATTGTATAAAGATGGTACTTTTAGTCATATGTAGTCTTTTAAGATTAATTTAAATAACACCCACTTCATGAATTTGAGAATAAAATTTTAAGCAGAGTACATTTTAGCCATCACGTTAATTAACAGGTCATCTTTTTCTTATAGTCTTGAATTTCACTCCAGGTGATGGGGTTGATTTCTTTGGCAGAGTCAGAGAAGGAGATACGGTGTATTCAAAACTTTTTTTTTCCCTATCTTTTAAGGACTTGGCTGTATTACTGAGGCTTGAAGAAAAAGAACTGCTTAAGCTCCAGGCATTACTAGAGAAGTACAAACAGGAAAAATCCAGAACAACTACCGTCCGATTCTCTGATGATAAGGATGGTGTGTTGCCTGTAAAAACATTCCTGGAATATTTAGAATGTGAGAAAGATGCGATCAATGTAAAGAAGATCAGCGAAGAGGAGTATGTGGATTTAGGTGGGTGGACTGATAACCTGCTCTTTGCACCTTGCCTCATCTGGATGAATCCCTGCGAAGAGTTCACAGCATCTCAGAGATTTAGTTTGTTTTAAAATTAGTGAAAAAATTTAACGTATTATTTTTCAGTTAATATAAGATGCTCTGGATATGTAGGCACTCTGTCATAAAAGTTTTATTGATTATTATGTGTACTAAAGTGCTAGACATGCAATGATTTGCCTCCTATTAAAGTCACGCACACCAAACCATTAATTTCTCTCAATCTGTATTGCTTCTCTAGGGATCTAGATTGCAATTCAGGAAGAATGTTAGTTCAGACGATAAGTAACTATTGATTCATGCATTTTGCTTTTGTTTTACTAGGCAGTTTCTTTTTTTGGAAGTGTTTGCATGGAGAAAGCTCTACTGAGGATATGTGTCATACTTTGGAGTCAGCTGGACTTAGCCCTCAGCTGTTATTGGTAAGATTTCTTGCTGCATGCTGTTCTTCCCTGCTGATGTCATCTGGAAGTGTCCGTCTTTTCTTTCTTTTTTAAATGCCATTGTCGAAAGCATATCATACAACAAACATCAAAACCTTCCAGAAATAATCAAAGAAACGTACAGTCACCATATTTGATTAGTAGTTATTTTTCTAATTCTCTGTAAGTTATAGCATGCATATTCCATGGTTCGCCTAAAATAAATTTAGAATCTGACACATATGCATGCATTTATAGTGGATTGTGATCATCAAGGGAAATGTTCATATTGGAACTAAAAAAGGTTTTATTTACAGAACAAAATCAACTTCCATTAAAGCAATACAGAGTTGGTATCAGACATTCCCAAACTTTGAATATAGGTTAGGGTTTAGCCTCTATGCTATAACAGATGTAAAACAAAAGATCCAGTAGAGAAGGACAACACTAAATGTGTGCCCTTCTGCAAAAGACAGGGGAGGTGACCCTGTGGTCATCCCTTCTCTTTTCCCTCAACCCTTACATGCACACATCCAAACTTTTTCACATCCCTACTAACATCTCATATTTCGGCCAGGATTTGGGCAATCTCCCTCTATGAGCTTGTTGACTATGTTGATATATTGTTTTAATTGAACATTTAATCTTCTAAAAACAGATTCTATTCTGTGTCACTTTGCAGTATGTATATCAGGAAATAAAGCAGTTAAAGATATATATAGATTATATGTAAATGTTCAGAAGCAGCTTATTTTTGTTTTTGTTAGCATGTGTGTATGAGAAGGGGAGGTGGAGAGAGAATCTTAAGCCCCAATGTGGGGCTCCTTACCATGAACCTGGGATCATTTCCTGAGACGAAATTGAGTCAAATGCTTAATCAACAGGGCCACCCAGGCACCCCCAAACCAGCTTTATTTATAGTAGCCAAAAATTGCAAACTACACAAATGTCCTTGAAAGGTTAAACTATGGCACATCTTTATCATGGAATACTCCTCAGCAATAAAGAGGACTGAGCCATTGATTCACACAACAACTTGAATGAACCACGAGGAAGATATGTTGAGTGGAAAAAAGCCAATCTTTGAAACGTACTGCATGATTCTGGTTTTGTAACAATCATGAAATAGCACAGTTACAGAGATCGAGAATAGATGAGTGCTTGCCAAGGATGATGGGTGAATGAGGGGGAGAGACAGGTGTGGCTAGAAGGGTTAACACACAGGAGTGTAGTTAATACACGAGAGTGTTGTGCTGGTATATAGTTAAGTGCTCGATCATAGTGGTGTGTTTGCCGAGCTACACATTTGATAGAGTTGCATGCACACACAAATGGATGCATGTATTACTGGTGAACTCTGAATAAGCTCTATGGACTTTACCAGTGTTACTTTATTGGTTTTGGTACTGTGTAAGATGTTAGCATTAGGAGAGACTGCAGGAAGGCTGCATGGAACTTTTCTTTGTGTGTGTGTGTGTGTGTGTGTGTGTGTGTGTGTGTTTGTGCCACTAGTGAATGTTTAACTGTTATCAAATAAAAAGTTAAAAAGAGAGGAGATAAGTATTATTATTTAAAGTTGTGATGCTTAAACAGGATGAGTACAGAATACTTCTTATTTTACTTTGTGTTTAATCAGTATCAATAAATTGTTATCTGCATTAAATCTGGGGTTTAAGAAACTGGGAAAATATGAACCTCAAATCTTACCTCAATCCATATATAAAAACTCAGAATGGAACATAAATATAAGAGCTAAAACTACAATACTTACAGAAGAAAACAGAGGGGAAGGGGCGCCTGGGTGGCTCAGTTGGTTAAGTGCGACTTCGGCTCAGGTCATGATCTCACGGTTCATGGGTTTGAGCCCCGCGTCAGGCTCTGTGCTGACAGCTAGCTCAGAACCCGGAGCCTACTTCAGATTCTGTGTCTCCCTCTCTCTTTGGCCCTCCCCCGCTCACACTGTCTCTTCTCTCTCAGAAATACATAAAACATTAAAAATTAAAAACAAACGGGAAAGCTTGGTTTGAGCAAAGATCTATAGGACACAAAAAGCAGGAACATAAAAGAAAAATATTGATCAATTACACTTCATCAAAATTCAAAACTTCTGTGTTTTAGAACTGTTAAGAAACTGAAAGGCAAGCCTCTCAGAATTTATAATTGATAAATGAATTGTAGCCACATTAGGAAAGAATTTAACCAGCCCCGTCGTAAGACAAACAATACAATAAAAAAAAAAGAAGCAAAATATTTGAACAGACCATTACCAGAAAAGATACACACACAAGGCCGATGATCTCCTGAAAGGCGTTGCATCATTCGCTGTTTGGGAAATGCCGAGTAAAACCACAGTAGCCTCTTTCTGAAGAGGATGTCTGAACTGAAGACCACCGATGGCACAAGTGGTGAAGAAGATGTGGAATGATCAGAACTGTCGGCACAGCTAATGCAAATGCTAGTACAGCAGCTATGGACAACAGTTTGAAAGTGTCTTACAACATTGAACATAAATTTACCATAAAATCTAGCAGTCTCATTCCTAAATATTTAAGAGGAATGAAATAGGTGCTCACATAGATTTGGAATCAAATATAAATAGCAGCTTTATTTATAATAGCCCAAAGTGTAAACAACCCAAATATCCACCAGCTGATAAGTGGATAAGTGATGGTGTCCATACAGTGGAGTGAACTACTGATACACAGAATAACTGTGGGATGAATGAATGAATGAATCCCAGAAGCATTTTACTAAGTGAAAACATCCAGAAACAAAATTGCCTACTGTATGATTTCAGTTCTGTGAAATACTAGAATAAGCAAAAATATGGTGACAGTGGAGATGGGCGTTTGCTGGAGGATGGGGTGGGGGTTGGAGATTCACCACGGAAAGCACGAGGGAACTTCGAGGGATGAAGATGTGTGGGCCAACACCTCACTTAAAATTAGTGATCTTTATTGTAAGTATGTACGTATAGGAAGGTAATAAAGTGATGTATATTATGTAGATCTCCCTATTTTAAATCCATAAAGCTGTGCTCTATAGCAGTATTGTGCTATAGAATGTTTAAAATGGGTTATAATTTGGGGCGCCTGGGTGGCTTAGTCGGTTAAGCGTCCGACTTTCGCTTGGGTCATGATCTCGCGGTTCGTGGGTTCGAGCCCCGCATCGGGCTCTGTGCTGATTGCCAGCTCAGAGCCTGGAGCCTGTTTCAGTCTGTGACTCCCTCTCTCTCTGACCCTCCCCTGCTCACGCTGTCTCTCTCTCTCTCTCTCCTAGAAATAAATAAAATATTTAAAAAAAAAATGGGTTATAATTTTAAGTTATTAAAAAAAATCTCTGAGAGATTGTATTTCACAAATCCCAAGTGATTGGTCTCTTTTTCCTTGTTTATGGTTAGATTTTTTTTTTAGAAGTATTTTATCAATAGCCGAATGCTTTTAAGCAGTTGTGTAATTTTTAAAAATCCTACCATGAGTATAGAGAAACAAACAAGGTATTTTCACTTAAAGCATGCAATTAATAGTACGACCAGGAAGGGAAGAGGGAACTTCTTTAAAAGAAAATACAAATCCCAAGAGTTAAAGAAATTGTAACATACAATTTAAAAGAAAAAAAAGACAAGCTTTTAATGAAGGCTGCTTGGTCATCGTGGTCACATTTGATCAGAGAAAATAGCAGCCAGCACATCAAGGCCATGACTAAGTCGTCTGGCCTTGGGAAGGTAAAGTACAGGGCTTTGATGGACCCAGGTAGGAATGTGCATCCTGCTTACATCCTGCTCATTCCCAAAGAAGTTAGTGCCAGTGCCAAAATAGTGACCAATGATACTTTTCTAGGCTATTAAATTTCAAATAGTGTTTAAGGAGCATAAATATCTGTTATGTTAAAGGAGTAACAGACCTTTAAGAGTTAGGCATACAAACATTATGAATAAAAGATGTTCGATGTTTCAGCAAAATATATTATTAGTGTTATAAAGACACTATTGGAAATGCTAATTCTTATCTTTTTTTTCTGAAATATTTTAATGAGTTTTATTGGAATTATGTTTGTGAAGAAATTTGCTACTTAAAATCTACGTTGTATGCATTTTTAATTTTAGAAATATTTCTAGGTGTACTGTACTTACTAATTTTCCTATAAAACTTACATTTGAACCATATGTTTGCACGTATAGGAGGATTAGGAGGAACTTGACGGAGGACCAAGGGGGAGAAGAAGGGCGGAAATGGTGGGGGAAAGGGAGAGAGGCAAACCATGAGAGACTCTTGAATGCTGACAAAAACTGAGGACTGATGGATGTGGGGGGGAGGGGGGGATGGACATGAAGGAGGGCACTTTGGGGATGAGCACTGAGTGTTATGTAGAAACTAATTTGACAATAAACTATTTAAAAAAAAAAAAAAAAAAAAAAACTTACATTTGATCTAGTCATTCTTTTACTATATTAGTGTAATTCAGAGACCAATAGCCTGATAGTTTTTAAATGTTTAAAACAGTAATGTTTAAAACTAGAATTACCTTCAGTGGAATATTACCAAGTTTTAAATCTGTAAGCTAAAACAGATCTAGTTTTCAGGAAAGACTGGAAAATAAGGCTCCTCCAAAAAAACTGACAAAATAAGTTTCTTTTGAGACAGGTCGAACAGATGGGTTCCTCCAGTTCTAATACTCAAATATTATCTGGTACATGTGTCAATATGTGACATTTGTATGTGAAATAACATAGTATGTACATTTATAGTATGAATATCTACATTATAAATAGTGTGACATTTTTTACTGTGATCGTGATGAAAGAATAGTTTGTATTTACTAGTTATAGAGATAGCTACCTTCTGTATACTTATTCTGTTATGTACGTCCACGTGTAGGTTTTTATGTGGTGTCTTGTCTCCGTATAGTCTTCTTTGATTATTTTATCCTTTTAACTTAATTTTTTCTGACTTAAAAAAATCTTCCTATTGCTTGTAAGTGATTCTAAAATTGTCAGTTGTGTTCTGATGGCTACCATAATATTCTCTATTGTATACTGACTTTTTACATGCAAACTAAAGCAAAGCTGATTGGAATTTTTAAAGTTTATAAAAAAGGGGAAGACCCACTAGGTTATAAGCAAAGATTATCCTATTGGACCAGAGTTAGAAAAACAAGGTGACCTAGAAAGAGACAGAGAAGGAGGGTTCAGTAAAAGAGGTTTTTGTTTGTTTTAGAATTTGCTAAATAAAGGTGGGGTGGGGGATAGCGGGGAGTGGTTAGCTGCAGAGTTTATAGTATGAAGAAAGATTCAGGGCATGGCATTTAATTTGTCTAAGTGTGATTTAGTCTGCAGAAACCCCTTGGGTTGTCTGTCTTTCTGAGCACTTTGAAACTTTGTTGCTAATGAAGAGATGAATCAAGGGGTGCCTGGATGGCTCAGTTGGTTAAGCATCCAACTTCAGCATTGGTCATGATTTTGTGGTCTTTGAGTTCAAGCCCTGCGTCGGGCTCTGTGCCAACAGCTCAGAGCCTGTAGCCTGCTGTGGATTCGAGGTCTTCCCCTCTGTCTGCACCTCCCCTGCTTTCTTTCTGTCTCTGTCACTCTCTCAAAAATAAACGTTAAAAAAAATTTTTAAAAAATAAGGTTTCTGGATAGGATGAGGTAGAAAGGCTGACATAGTGAGAGGCATAAGAGGGTTAAGTGAAAAAGGGAGATAAGTAAAACCAAAAAAGGGAGAAACCAAGACTATAAAGTATGTATTTTTTATTTGTAAGAATTATGTAACATGTAAGTTTGTTTGTACATGTACATGCCTGTGCACGTGTAGCATTTTTTAAAGAGAAAAGAAAACAAGCGTGTTAGAATCAGGCAGATCTAGGTTCAGACCTTAGTCCCGACTCGTTAGCTATACGGTACCGGGCAAGTTACTTTTCATCATGTGTAAGATGTGGGAGACTGTCCATGCCATGAGGTGGTTGAGATCGAATGGGGTGACGCCGGCAGGAACTTCCCTCTCCTGGCCCTTCGGTTGTTCTCATAAGTTAATTTCCTTCACACACTTCTTCAGCTTCCGACTCTTCTGAATTGTTGAGAATTATTTATACTAATATATTTAAACTGATAATCAACCTTTTATTTTCACACACACACCCTTTTTTAAGATGAACGTCCAGGCTTTTCCCAAACACCAGTACCTACAGGTATGATGCCAGGCCATTGAACTTCTCATTGTCTCAATTATCTGTATACAGGTTTTGTACCTATTAAAATATTTCAGTTTTCAGTAGATGTGCTGGTTCATGGGCATCTTAAAAGTCACTTATGTTGACTTAGGTGTTTTTGCTTAAAGTCAGTTTCTCATGCCTTATTTAAAAACTAGAATCTGATAGGTTTACATGTCTGTTCACCATTGCCAAGTCCACAGTGCCTTGTGGCCAGTGTGAGGAGAGGTCTACAGCTCCAGATCCTCCCATTCCTCCCGTCAGCTGAGTGGCTTCTCATCAGTCCGCAGCAATCTGTGCTAACTTGGTAGTAGTGAGTGACCTTTCCTGTAATATCCTCCATAATCAAGGCTCAACCTGGAAGACAGTGCTTCGCCCAAGGAAGAGATGGAATCACTTAAATTAAGTTATCTGACAGATGATAGAGAATCTCTTCAGTAGACAAGGTACCTTTTCTGCCCTCGTGTTATGTGATATAACCAACCACTTCTTTCTCCCCCAGAAGGACTGAATCACTCATATACGCACATGTGCTCTCTTGAAAACTGCAACGTTTTATTTTTTTACTGAAAATTATTTAAATTTGATTTCAGTCTCTGTTGCTGAGTGTTTGGCTTTCTAAGGAAAAAGATATTTTGGATAAACCGCAGTCTGTGTGCTGTCTTCACACGATGCTGTCCCTCCTGAGCAAGATGAAAGGTAAGATAGATGCTGGTAGAAACCACAGTTCCCGGGCCCTGAGATGCAGGCTGCTGCTCTTGCAAATGAAGATTAATTACTATTCAAAAAACCACAAAACAGAAAAGAGGATGCTTTCTCTTAATAAAAGGAGATTACAGTGTACAAAACATTTCTCTAGAGATTCTTTTCTGTATTAATAGAAAGCTCTCAGTGCATTCAAAGCATGTTTTATGGAAATTATATTTTGTGTCCTCAAAAGTAATGTGATATGGGGCGCCTGGGTGGCTCAGTCGGTTAAGCTCTTAGGCTCAGGTCATGATCTCATGGTTTATGGGTTTGAGCCCTGCGTCGGGCTCTGTGCTGACAGGTAGCTCAGAGCCTGGAGCCTGTTTTGGATTCTGTCTCCCTCTCTGTCTGCCCCTCCCCCATTCGCTCTCTGTCTCTCACAATAAAGATACTAAAAAAAAAAAAAAACATTATATACAAAACCTCCCAAAACCCCAAAAGTAATGTGATATGAACAATGCATTTCCTTGATTCATTTAGGTAAGTCATACGGTCTTTGGTGGAGGTAATTTTTAAAATTATTTTTGGCCTCATTAGAATAATAATCTTTATATTAAAATATTCAATAGTAGTGGGGCGCCTGGATGGCTGAGTCAGTTAAGTATCAGCTCTTGGTGTCAGCTCAGGTCAGGATTTCAGGGATGGTGAGTTCGAGTTCCGCATCAGGCTCTGCACTGACAGTGCAGACCCTGCTTAGGCTGTGTTCTCTCCTCCTCTGTCTGCCCCTTTCCTGCTTGTGCTCTTGCACTCTCTCAAAATAAATAAAATAAAACTTTTTAAAAAGTTCAATAATAGTTTTCAGCAATGATGAAAGTATTCCAGAGATTTGCAGTTGATTCAGAAGCAAGACCACTAAGACAGCCTATACAAATGGGATATAAGTGTTCTGATAAAAGAAGTGGTGGATTTATATTCTAAGTCATTCAGAAATATACAAGTGCCTAACTGGGGAATTTAGTTTCTGCGTTATTCTCGGTGTAAAGATTGGACAAGAAAAATTGACAAGCTCTGGGTTTCTTGTTCAACGTTCTCTTTTTGCCCGCAGTGGCCATTGACGAGACCTGGGACTCACAGTCTGTGTCCCCGTGGTGGCAACAGATGCGCACGGCTTGTGTTCAGTCTGAGAACAATGGAGCCGCCCTGCTGTCTGCGCACGTCGGCCATTCCGTTGCCGCACAGATCTCGAACAGTCTGGCCGAGAAGAGAGTAAGTGGGCAGGGGCGCAGGCGCCGCTGTTTGTGGGTCTGTCCCAAGCGTGCATCGGGGCTGCCGTGTCTTCGGTGTTAGGGACCATCTGGGGTCTAAAATGTGTGCCCAGCAGGCTCTTATTTGTCTTTTTGGGAGTGGAGGATGCTGCCCTTCACTTGCTTATTCAGATGACATGCATATTTATGCTCAGCCATCAGCTCCTGGCGTGAGGGGCAGAGGCCTTCAGGTGGATGGCAGAGGCCTTACCCTGATGGGTGATAAGTCCCTTGAACATGGAACTCCTGCTGCTTCCTCGTCTGCAGGAAATCAGTCGCTATTTCTGAGGTTTTTGTAGCTCTAAAGTTCTACAGTTGTATTTATAACCTCCGCCCCCTCTTTTAGAAACAGAAGTTGTTTTGGGGCATGCGGTAGTGAGTGACTCGCATAAAAGTTTCCTATTGACCTTTTTGCTTTGTGGTTTCTCCTCATCTCTTAAAGACTCAAATTTATTAAAAAAAAAAAAACAACACCAAAATAGACATCTCCTATCTCGTGGTACATCGGATGATCTTTTTCTAGGGGGAACGTTGCATTTACTTGGTTGAGTCACTGAAATAGGCCTGTAGAGATTCACTTAACATTGTCAGTCTCAGCACTTTATATGCTAAGTTTAATATTACTGGCTTAAGATGTTTATAATAATGGAAAGAGAAGAAATTTGAGGCACACTTTAAGTGCCGCATACGAGTGCATTTTGAAAAGAAACCCGTCTCCTGGCCCCTGACAGAAAAGACCGGGGCCCTTGTCAAGAACGGTGCTGCAGACTCGCCGAAGCACACACTGGATGACTGCGCGTTACCGCAGGTCTTTTGTAAATGTCCCAACGGTGAGAGCAACTCACTGTTGTCCCCGACTCCCCGGTCTCCTCCTGTCCCTCAAGTTACATCCAGTTGAGTAGTAAGATTTGTGAACCGGCGTCTGTGTGTTGCTTTGTGGTGTAGCCTGACGGTCCATCATCAGTTTTCAAGTTAAAAGCTCATTCAAGTTAACGCTGATCCAGAATGTTTGCCAGACCGTCACCAGGGCATTTTCCGTTAGTTTTCCCAGACAGTCTTGGGGGCTGATTCCGAGGCCCTCACCGAGTCCTGGGAGGCCCTCTCTCTTGACACCGAGTACTGGAAGCTCCTGCTGAAGCAGCTGGAGGACTGCCTCATCCTTCAGACGCTGCTGCACAGCAGAGCAAACTCGCCGGCCTCCAGAGTGTCGTCGCCGCAGGCCGAGCCCCTCCCCAGGCTTTCTGTCAAAAAGTTATTGGAAGGAGGAAAAGGTAAGCTGGAGCGTATTTGAATTGCGCCTGTATAGCTGCATGTTTATGTCGTGGGCAGTTCTGGTGGTTTTTGTAGAAATGACTGAAAGAAGAGGGAGAGAGAAATACACTCCGCATAAAAACGTTCAGACTCACCCACCACACACTTTTTCTCCGAGTCCGATCCTGTCAGTTCCCTGCTCCGGACCCCCCACTGCTTTTCCCACCGTGGAAAGTCAGCTGTGGTCTCAAAGAGTGGTCAGAGAACCCTCTCTTTTCTGACTTCGTGCTTGCGGGAGGCTGGCTTTTCCTCCCGTACTTCAGCCAAAACAACAGATCACAGTGGATGGAAAGCAGAAGCTGATCGGAGATTCCAGATACAAGCTGGAAAGTTGAAGGATTTGCAAAGACGTAGTGTTACTTCTCTCACTAAACGTCTTTTCTTGCTTTGGGGAATAGTTATTTCTGTAAAATATTATTAACACGTAATAGGTTTATTATTTGTATTTAAAAATGAATTAATGAAAATATTTAAAAATTTTATGTTTTAACTTCCAGTACCATAAATATCAATAAACATAACCCATAAGCTCAGGTTCTTTTGGGATTTTCAGTGATTTTTAAGCATTTAAGGAGATTTTGAGGTGAGAGAGTTAAGAACTTATGGAACAAATATAAACTCTTTTTTTTTTTTTTTTAAATATTTTTATTTATTTCTAGGAGAGAGAGAGAGACAGCATGAGCAGGGGAGGGTCAGAGAGAGAGGGAGATACAGACTCTGAAATAGGCTCCAGGCTCTGAGCTGGCAGTCAGCACAGAGCCTGACGCGGGACTCGAACCCACGAACCGCGAGATCATGACCTAAGCGAAAGTCGGACGCTTAACCGACTAAGCCGCCCAGGCACCCCGGAACAAATATAAACTCTTAAACCTATTCCCTAAGAACTTTTGGCTTTGAATCCAACCCATTTTTCCATTTCTTGTTGCTTGATCATGGTTCAGATGAAGCAACTGTGTGATTCCCCGTGTCCCGGGTCTGAGCCTGCCCTCCCCTTCCTGCTCCCTCCCCCCTCCTCCCATTGGGGGTGCTAAATTGCACGCCTCTCTCAAGGCCCACCTCAAATGCTACCTCTTCAAAGAAACTGCTCATGATCCACTAGAGGCAGATTTTCTGTTCTTCCTCCTAATTTCCACGGAACTTTACACCCTCTTCTGTGATTCATTACTTTCTACTCTCCTGCAGACATTGGGTTTCTTTGACCACAAGCCTCTTAAGTCATTAGCTGTCCTGGTGTACTTTCTTTTTACCAACAGCTCTTTCAGGCATTTGATACTGGAATGACTGTATTTCTGGATTTATAAATAAATATGCATATATTTATAGATTTTTATTTAGTTAACTTGTTTTCTCACGCTCTGTAAGACTTGTAAGCTTTGACCTGAGAGGCAGGCTTCCAGTTTGGCACATATTAAGGGGCCTGTGCAGCTGCTCTGAAGGAACATAGGCTATGGATGCCGTCTTGGTGCTCACCTTCTGCCTTGTCCCAGTTTGCCAGTATAACCCAGAAAGAGCTTATACACTTGTATGGAGCCCTGATTTTTGTGACTGCCACCCAGGGGGAACCTCAGGTCTCCTGACTCTGGTGGCCAGTGGGGTTGCTGTTTGTGGGCTTGCAGGACTGTATATATATGCATACTTTCAAAAGCTGATCCCTGAGGTTCTGGCTTTCAGTCAGCCCGAATCTAGGTGTTAGGATTCTCCCTTTGGGGACACTGGCAAATCTCAGGATGTCCTCAACTTCTGGAAGCTACTAAAAATATAATACGCTGCTTGGATGAGCACAGAGGCTTGAGAGCCAGCCAGTTGCTGAGGCAGGATTGAACGACAAGTGTCATCTCCTACACAAACCCACTCCTTTAGGACTAGGAGAGGGGGTTCATTACTGTGTAGAAACCACAGAGAGTCAAGCATGATGAAGAAATAGAGATGTTTCAAAAGAAAGAATAAGATAAAACCTCAGGAAAAAAAAAAGCTTTAATCAAATGGAGGTAAGTAATTGACCTGAGAAAAAGTTAAAAGTTATGATCATTAAAACGCTCACCAAACTGGGGAGAAGAATGGATGAATACAGGGATAACTTGAAGGAGATGGAAAATAAAGGAAAGTACCAAGTAGAAGTCACAGAGCTGAATGATACAGTAACTGAACTCCGTGTCCACTACAGGGTTTCAACAGCAGACTAGATGAAGCAGAAGAAAGAACCTGTGAACTCAAAGACAGGACAGTGGAACCTAATCAGAGCAAAAAGAGAAAATGAAAAAAAAAAAAAAAAAGTGAAGATAACTTTAGGGACTTAGGGGACAATATCAAAGGGGCTTCCAGAAGGAGAAACGAGGAAAGGGCAGGGATCTTACCTGAAGAAAAAAAGAGCTAAAAACTTCTCTCACCTGGGGAACATCCAGTTCCACAAATTCCAGAAAGTTCCAAATAAGAGGAATCCAAGGACCCACATTAAGACAGATTATAATTAAAAATGTGAAAAATTATTGACAAGATGAGAATATTAAAAGCAGAAAGAGAAAAACAACTTGTTTTGTAAAAGGGAATCCCCATAGGACTGTCGGCAGAGTTTTCAGCAGAAAATTTTCAGGCCAGAGGGAGGTGCATGGTAGATTCAAAGTGCTGAAAGAAAAACATTTTCAACCAAGAATACTCTCCCTGGGAAGTTATCATTAAGAAGTGAGGGACAGATAGAGTTTTGTAGACAAGCAGAAGCTAAAGAAATTCTTCACCCCTAAATTGATCTTTCAAGAAATATTAAAGAGACTTTATAAGATGAAAAGAAAGAGCTCTAATTCTTAACAAGAACACATACGAAGGAATAAATCTCACTGGAAAGGTAAAATACATCACTTAGAAACCTTGTCTGAAGGCTAAAAGGCCATTATGAGAGGCACCTGGGTGGCTCAGTAGGTTAAGCATCCAGCTCTAGATTTTGACTCAGGTAATGATCTACTGGCTCGTTGAGTTTGCACCCCATGTCGGGCTCTGCACCAACATTGCAGAGCCTGCTTGAGATTCTCTCTCTCCCCCATCTCTGCCCGTCTCCCACTCTCTCACACACACTCTCAAAATAAATAAACATTAAACAAACCAAAAAAGACAAGGGATGCCTGAGTGGCTCAGTTGAGCATCTGACTTCAGCCCAGGTCATGCATGATTTTGCATCTGTGGGTTTGAGCCCTATGTTGGGCTCTGTGCTGACAGCTCAGAACCCGGAGCCTGCTTTGGATTCTGTGTCCCCTTCTCTCCCAACCCCTCCCCTCATGCTCAGTCTCTCTGTCTCTCAAATAATAAAAATGTTTAAAAATTTTAAAAAGACAACTATGATTGTAATAGTTAAGGGATATGCAGGATAAAAAGATGTAAAACGTGACATCAAAAATATAAAATGGTATGGGAGAGTGATAATGTTGAGATTTACAACAGAATCAAACTTGTTATCCGCCTAGAATAGACTGTGACAGATACAAGTTGTTATATCTAAGCTGATCGTAACCACAGAGCAAAAACCTATAGTAAATACACAAAAGAGAAAGGAAAGGGGTATATAAGCATTTCACCAAAGAAAGGTATTGAGCCACAGAGGAAGAGAACACAGGAACAGAGGAACCATGAGAACAGCCAGAAAACCATTAAATGCCATAGATACATACCTATCCGTAATTACTTTAATCATAAATGTACTAAATTCTCCAATGAAAAGGCATATGGTGCCTGAATGGACGAGACCACAGAAAACGAGACCTGTATGCTGCCTGAGACTCACTTAAGATGAAAGGACACAGAGACTGCAAGTGAAGGGATGGGATGCAGATGGAAACCTTTCTTATTTATTTTTTTAAATTTACATAAATTAAGAAATATATATTTTTAAATTGTATCTCATTACACTCTATGCTGCCACCTGCTGATAGTGTAGGCCCATCACTGTGATACTAACCTAAGCAGTGTAATCAAGGGCTTGATTCTGGAATGAAAATTACCAAATAAATGATTTAGAAATCAGGCAGAAAACATTAGAGCACCCACCACACAGGTTATATCTGAACAAAGAAGGAAGAAAGAAAAGGTTTTGGTGAGTTACAGAGGAGTGTGTAATTTCTTTTAGGTAGTCAGGACTCTCTGTCTCGAGTCTTTTTCAGTTTACATTTATAATTTCTTTGGACTATATCAATGACTGAAACTTGAGAGAGCATCATGTTTCTTAGACATGGCTAAGCTTTGCCCATAAATATTCCAAATAGACAAGTTAGTTGACTATTAAAAGGAATATGTTGCACTGAGAAGCCTAGACAAGTATTAGGCTGATCAGTTTCACTTACAACTAAGTGAAGGCGTTTTAAAGATATACTCATCCCTTCGTCTGTGTCTGGTAAAGTGTATTTTGGATTTGTGGACATAGGTGGACACCTTTGGGTTTCTGTAATATTTTATGGGAGTGTAGAGACGCTCCTGGATGCAGGTATCCCACCTGCCGTCACAGGATGAAGGGTAGGTAGTGGCACTGGTAAATTTCATGGCTTTTGGGGGGTTCACTCTCAGGTGCAGAACTGAATGTGGCACCTAGGTCTGTTCATAAGGAAATCCAGACCGTGCGCTGTGCTGGCTGACTTTGGCGAACACTGAATTTTCATTTTCTTTCTTGTCTCCACACCGTAGGTGGCATTGCCGATAGCGTAGCCAAGTGGATATTTAAGCAGGACCTCAGCCCTGAAGTGCTAAAACTGGCTAATAAGGACAGAGATGCAGAAAAGGGAGATGAACCCAAAGAAGGTATTAACAGAGGTTTATCTGAGGTGCCAGAGGTGGAGGTGAGCCTAGGAGCTATACCAGGTAACGCGGGAACACGGAGGAATACGCCGTCCAGAGAGGGACATGTGGCTGGGTCTTTGTTAAGGAAACACTGCTCAGTGCGTCCCTCTCTTCTGGCTTTCAGACTTGCTGCACTCCGCCTACAGGCAGTTTCCCTGTAGCCTTGAGCTGGACGTGCTGCATGCGCACTGTTGCTGGGAGTATGTTGTCCAATGGAACAAAGACCCAGAGGTAAGATTCCCGCTCCTGCTGTCCTGTAAATTCTGTCGTGCGCTCACGCGGTGCCCCCGTGGGAACATGTAATTCGCTGGCTTACTGGGAACACGGGGCTTTCCCCTTTGGAACGCCCCGCACGAGGGGCCCCTTTCCATGCATTGTCTCTTACAGTCCTCATGGAAAACCTGCGCGCTGGGGACGTTGCCGTGATCCCCACTCTAGAGAAAACAAGAGCTCAGAGAAGTTCCGTTCCACGTCCCAGACTCCCTGTCCGGTCAGAGTTTGGGCCAGGGTTTAAGCCTGGGTTTCTCTGTCTTTAAAGCCAGTGCGTTTTGCCCCCCTGCTGGTTAGGCTGTGATAAGTAGAGTTATTTCCTTTTGAATTCGTACAGGAGACAGCACCCACCCAATAGAAGATGTTTAACGTTGTAGTCCTTGTGATAAAAGCCGGGGAGGGGGGGAAAGATCCTGCTTGTTTAGAAAGCCCGTATTTGTCACATCTCTTAAGTTTGTCTAGAAGAAAAATCAAAGTCCTGTCCGAGGCTGACTCTAGTCCAGGGTTAGCCATGCTGCCCTTTCACCTCTCTGCCTGGATGTCGTTTTCTCCTACTCGGGGAGCCCCCTCTCTCCTGGCACATTCGCTGTCTGGAAGCAGAATGGGGAGAAGGGCCCCAAGCCGGGGGACGGGAGTCCTGGGTTTGGGTCCCAGATGTGTGGCTGACAAGTGTCTGGGTTCGGGCAAGTCACTGAATCTCTGGACCAGTTTTTTTCCTCCTGCCACCTCTTTTTTTTTTTTTTTTTTAATGAAGGTGACAGTCCTTCAGGATTGACGCCAGGATCAAGTAAGATGTAAAACCATAGGATTGGACATTCCTCTTTTGCCAATAAGTCCTTCGTGTAGGTCCCCCTGGTCAGCGCTCTGGGAAGTGACGCCCCTCAGAGCAAAGCACCTTATCGCCCTTGGGTCAGATTGCACTTTTGAAGAAGCATCTCGCTGCTGAGTTAATTCACACCAGTGCTTGAATGCTAATGATACTCTTCCTCTGAAAAAAATGGTCTTTAATACATAAAATGCTTTAAGCAAAGGAATCGTCTTTGGTCAACTAAACCTTGACCAAAAAGCGATTTTAGGACAGCGGACCCTCGTGTTGCCCCGTGAGTCACCCTCTTCTGTGGACCTCTCTGCGGCTTGAGTGATCACTGTGTTTGGGCTCTCTCCTTCCATGGAATATTTTTCTTACATGAAAAAATAATGTTAGGGCTGTAGTGGGGACATAATAATTTCTAAAATATGAATAAATTCCAGATTCAGGTCATAGAAGGTGATATTTAAGAAAACTGTTTTGGGGCGCCTGGGTGGCTCAGTTGGTTAAGCACCGACTTCGGCTCAGGTCATGATCTCATGGTTCATGAGGTCGAGCCCCGCATCGGGCTCTATGTTGACAGCTAAGAGCCTGGAACCTGCTTTGGATTCTGTTTCCCTCTCTGTGTAGCTCTCTCCTGTCTCTCACCCTGTCTCTCTCTCACCCTGTCTCTCTCTCTCTCTCAAAAATAAATAAACGTTAAAAAAAACAACAGCCTTGTTTTTACATCATTCATTATAAACCAAAGGCAGCTTGCAGAGTGGACCCAGAGCTGAGGTCAAGGCCATTGCCACTATTACTAGCTGTATGATCTCTGGGAACATTTCTGAACCCTTTGTTCTCGATTTTTACATGAGGACCGTAGTTACCTCAGAGGGCCATGACAATTTGTAGAGAAAATGCATGCACAGCGCCTGACATTTTGATTAATGTTACCATTGTCTATTGAAAATGTTTACATCGCAAATAAGTGGCTGCTTTTCTTGTCTTTTTTTTTTTTTTTCTTATTAAATAGCTCTCCCTACCCATCGGGCCCTGACCCTGCTCCCACCAGTTTACCTACACGGCTTCTTAGGATCATAACAACTGAAATTACTTCGGGGATTTTTTTTTTTTTGAGAAAGAGAGAAAGCACAAGAAGGGGGCAGAGAGAGAGAGAGAGAGAGAATGAATCTTAAGCAGGTTCCACACTCAGTGCAGAGCCCAATGCAGGGGGTGCAGTCTCCTTTCCCTGAGGTCATGACCTGAGCCAAAATCAAGAGGTTGGACAATCAACCGACTGAGCCACCAGGCACCCCACCTTCGGGAAATTTCTAACACCAGTATGTGTTAGCAAAAGGCGATAGATTTAATCTTTGTACAGGCCATATAGTTACTGAGCAAAGATCGGGATAATTTTATCAGTTTTACGTGCTGTATTTGAGTGTTAATATGTAAGCAAGTACCTCGATTGGAAGGTTGACTTTCAGACATTCCCTTCTGATAGGTCGTGTTTCGCTTCACTGCTTGGTTTTCCACCTTGACACGTATCCCCGACATACTATATAATTTACACACCATGTTCACTTTGCTCCCTTGCTGCGACGTAACCACAGTGGTCACATTCCCCAAGGATTTGGGTCTGTTCATTACAGTATCTCTCGCATCTCAGACACCCTGGTGCGTAGTAGTTGCTCAGTAAATATTTGGTAAAGAATTAGTAAATGATATTTGCAAAGAAGTAAACCCATTGTTTTCACATCTGTGTAAAAATTCAAGTACTTATTAGAGAAGATACTGCTGTTATACACAAACCACAGTAAATTTTGATTCCAGATGTCGGCATATATGACCTGGGGGTTTCTAGGAATCAATCATTACGTGAATTTGCAAGAGACCATTGACACTATCTTATGAAAAATTACTTCTTACCTAATGATTTCATGTTTTTATCACAACATTCTTGGGTAGCTTTATGCAGAAATGTGTGTAAAAAGTCACCATGTGTATTTGAAACATCTGTTAAATGATACCTCTTTTTCTCTCTCTCTTTTTCTCTCTGTATGTAAGGAAGCACGTTTTTTCGTTAGGTCAATAGAACACTTGAAGCACATCGTTAATGCACATGTTCAGAATGGTAAGTAAATAGGCATTAAAAACATAACTGGTTGATTCAAAAGAAGCAGGAATCTTTAAGTTCACATCCTGTTAAACTTTTATTTGATAGCTGCAATCTAACATGTAATTGTGAGTGTGTGTCGTGACGGGGAAAGTGCTGGCTGTTTGAACTGCCGGGAAAACCGCTCTCCAGAAGTGGGGGTGGGGGGTGGGGCTGCTGGCAGTAATTCTCCCCTTCTGTCCCCGCCCCTCAGTTTCCCAGTCGACTGCTGTTAAACCGCTGATTTTCATTTTTGGCCCCAGGATGATGAGGAAAGAGGGATGGGCTTTGAGCACTGCAGTTCCTCATGAAAAAGTTAGGTAGCCAGGAGCCTAATAATATCATACCCTACAGAATACCTGGTGCTTTTTTTTTTTTTAAGTTCATTTATTTTGAAAGAGTGCACAAGAGAGTGAGTGGGGTGGGGGTGGGGTGCAGAGAGAGAGAAAGAGAGAGAATCCTTAGCAGGCCCTGCACTGTCAGCAAAGAGCCTGACACAGGGCTCAGTCTCACGAACTGGGAGGTCATGGCCTGAGCTGAAATCAGGAGGCGGATGCCGAACCGACAGCCACCGGGTGCCCCTTGTGCTTCTTCCAATACAGATGACTATTCTCAGTTGGCCGCTGTACCGTGGGGACTGCTGATGTCTCCTTGAAAAAAATGTCACAAATTGTTGTAGGAAAATTGTAAACAGGCTGCTGTTTCCATTAAATAGATAGATGGGTTTCCCTGGAAGAATAAATGGAGGCACTCAGAACAAGGGCACTTATTTTACCAAGTAAGTGGGGAAACTGCGTGTTGGGCCACGTAAGAGGGAGGCATCATCTTGAGGACTGTGCAGTGAATTTTAGAGAAGCTTCTTGTTTCTTCTAGACCGGCACCACCACCTTCCAGGTGGTATGACGTCAAGTTGCAGAAATCCTAAAATGTCTTATTTTGTGTGAAGGGAACTTCAGCATTTTATTTATTCGTCTTAGATCTGACCTTCTTCATAAGAGAAATGACTCATTTGGACAATAAGGTCTCTATAGAATTCTATCCTTACTGATAAAATGAAGTCACTGCTAACTTCAGGCCAGTATTTCTTTAGGAACTTACCTGTTTGTACAGTGAGTCGGCTTCCTGGCTTCTCACCCCTACATACAGGAGCAGCCAAGTGGGTAGTGATGACCGCATCCGAAATGTCGTGTTTAAGTTGCCTAATTGACAGCTGTTTCGGACATCAGGATGCCATGGTTTATCGTATATGGAAGTATGCTACCCACATTTCTTGCTTGGTGCTTTTGTATTGTTTTCTCTTTTAATAGCTCTTTACGTGTCACTTTGGTGGTTGCTTATGAAAAAAATCAATTTTGGGCACGGGGCTGTTTCTCCTATTTGGCTGCTTTGAATAAAGCTGCCCTCAGAGCTCCCGTACTATCTTCGTGTTCATTCGTGCAGCAGTCACGGGGCCATACGGTGGGCACGCAGTTACTTAGTAGATATGACCAAGCAATTTTCCAAGTGCTTTTACTAATTTATGATGCCCCCAGCACTCTGAGCATTCCCGTTGTTTCCACACCCTCCCAACACTTGCACTGTCGTTAAAAGCAATGTTAGTCTCTGTGGGCGCCCGGGTAGCTCCGTCGGTTAAGCGTCCGACTTCAGCTCAGGTCATGATCTCCTAGTTCGTGGGTTCAAGCTCCGTGTCGGGTCTGGTGCTGACAACTCGGAGCCTGGAGCCTGCTTTGGATTCAGTGTCTCCCTCTCTCTCTGCCCCCCTGCCCCCCGCTTGTGCTCTGTTTCTCAAAAATAAATAAACGTTAAAAAATAATTAAAAAGCCAAACAATTTTGCCGTTGTGTTTATGTAATGATATTTCCTCGTGATTTTACTTTGTATTTCTCTGAGAACTAATGATGTGGCTCTTTTCTTATACTTATTAGCCATTTGGATGTCCTCTTACGCAGCTCAGTTCTGAATGTTGTTGAAGATAAAGGTTATTGTTAACTTTATTACTGATACGTAAGATGTGAGAGACGATTTGTAAATAAGTAAATAGCCCAAATAGCGTCATACACTTGAAGAAGACAGTACTTTATTTGGTGTGGTGAAAGGAAAAATAGATAAGCTTCCTACTTACTACTTTCCCATGCTCCCTAGGAATTGCACTGATGATGTGGAACACGTTCTTGGTTAAAAGATTTTCTGCTGCCACCTACTTGATGGATAAGGTGAGGTAGTTTTAAATGTCATATACTTGTTTATTTTGTTCCCTTAATTGATTACTATTGGAAAGATTATTTACAAGGGGCCTTGTTAGACTATTTTTTATTTGAGATTACATTTTACTCATGCTCACTTAAACGGAATTCCCATGCTGGCATTTTGGTGACCTGGAGAAGAACCCCAGATCCTTGAGAGTAATTTACTTTCTCGTAAGCAAAGAGGGTAGGACTCGTGGTTGATTCAGGGAAGGATTTGCACTTTTCTTTCTTAATGTTTATTTTGATAAAAAGAGAGGATGCGTGGGGGAGGGAGCAGAGAGGGAGAGAGAGAGAGAGGGTGGGAGGGAAGGGGGGAGAGAGAGAGAGAGAGACCGAGACCGAGACCCAAGCAGGCTCCTTGCTCACCACAAGCTGGACACAGGGCTCGATCTCAGGACTGCAAGATTACGACCTAAGCCAAAATCAAGAGTTGGACACACCTACCCGACTGAGCACCCAGGTGCCTTACATCTTATTTTTTAAATCTTTTTTTTTTTTTTTTAAGTTTATTTACTTCTTTTGAGAGAGAGAAGGAAGGAGAGAGCGAGTGAGCACATGAGCAGGGGAGGGGCAGAGAGGGAGGGAGACAGAATCCCAAGCAGGTTCAGCCCTGTCTGCACAGAGCCCAGTCTGGGACTTGAACCCACAAACCACGAGGTCATGACCTGAGCTAAACTCAGAGTGTACACATGTATAGTTGCTCATCAGTCTTTGGACGTAGGGCCAAGGTATTTCCTGCGGACAGCACTGCCTTCCTACTCTGGTTTTCCTACGTGAACCTCACCCCTAATGCCTTGCCTGTGATTTCTAGATCCTGATTCTTTACAGTTTGTGATGCAGTCCGAGTGCAGAGTCTTGAGATTTTATAATTTCTGCCCTCCTCTTTGTAGCTGTTCCCTCTGATCTGGTAGACGTCAGTGTTAAATCTCCATAAATCTTTTTAAAGCATTCAACCCCGTACTTAGATAAACAACTCCCTTTATTTCCATATGTTTTATCAGTTATCTAATTAAGTTCGTAATTACGACATTACATATCTCAGGCAGCATAAGCAGCCTTGGGGGCAAACCTAGCGCGTATGCTTAGACGGTAGCCCGTGGAGCAGAGGCGGGCGCCTGCTGACCCCCTGCCCCCACGCCGGGCCATCGTCACTGTCCCCAGGCCCGTCCAGAAGGGAGGCTCAGCGGTTATGCGGCTGTCAGGAGAGGGCCCACCGCAATTACGTGTTCTTTCTGCTGTTCGGTGACAGACGTTCCTAAACCATGAGCAGCGCTACATTCAGACCCACTTTGGGCCACAGCTCCTGTCACCGGTAACATGTTTTTCTAGTTCAGCCTGTTTTTCCCTGTGTGCGCACCTTCCTTGCCTGCTTACACGTGTCTTTTTTGAGACTCACTCCCGTGGCCTTTCCGATCCTGTTCTGTTCACCCGCACCTCCGATCACTGCTCTTTGGGGAGAACAGTAACACAGGAGTTGTGTGTGTTACTGCTCAGCATTCTAGCACTCTCCCAGCCCCGGTCACGCTTCTGCCTCGCGGACTGGATTTGAATTTCTTACACAGTCCTGAATGCAGAGGCAGAGTTTGGATGATTCATTCGCCAGGTACTTATTATAAGTATCTCTTCTGTGCCATGGACTGTGCTAAGTTCTGTGGTCGCGGAGCTAAAAGCCCCCGTCCCTGCTCTCCGGGGACTCCCAGGCTGCAAGGAACGTGGGCTGCGTTTGGAGAGGAGACGAGGAAGTAAGTAACAGGCCTGAGGGAGGGCTTCTGAGCTGAAGTTTGGAGACCAGTACGTACAAAGCAGTAGGTGAGAAAAAAAGGCGTAACGACAGAAAGTCCTGGGGACAGGAGGCCGTGTGTTCAAGTCAGAGCTGCGAGTAGCTTTGTGTGCTTGAAGCGCAGGCTGTCGGAAGGTACGGGAAGCAGAGCAGGAGTATTTCCCGGGCAGGCTCTGGGTCTGGGGTTTTCTGATGATACGTGTAGACCGCTTAGTATAGGCACATACGGTAAGGCTAAGGGCTCATCAGTGGTGGCTAGTATTTTGTCTTGGAGACATGGGACAGCTTGAAGCAGAGGAATGAGAGGTTCAGATTCGCATCTTAAAGGATGCTTCTGGCAACAGGCTGAAATATGTTGGGATTGGGACAGGCTGGGCTTGGTTGTGTGAAGGCCATTGCTGTGATCTCAGCAAGAGGCAACGAGGTGAAGAAGCCTTTGTGCCCCCGGTACTTAGCACTGTGAATTCTTACCAAGGAATGTTCCTGAAGAGCGGAACGCCCGTGTCCCACGTCTCACCGTGTGTAAAGTGCACAGTAGAATCAAAGTACTTACTGAATCGAGAAAATCACCGTGTTCTGAGCTAGGAATTTAGCTTCTGTCTGCATTAGGTTGTCTCTCCTCCTTTCTGATCATTTTTTAAATGATCATGTGTCTTTATCAACAAGAAAAATTCTTAGCTGCTCTTTATTCATAACCTTGAGTTTTGTTCTGGGTTTGAAGGCAACACAGTTATTCCATTGTACAAATTGAGGACCAGATTTTTAGAGTTCTTTTTATTTAGTAGTTCAAAAATACTTATTATTGAAAGGATTATTTGTGAGCCCAGTGTGGTCTGTTTTTCATATTTTTAACTGCATTGCATTGCTACACATGAGCAGAACCAACATTTATTTATAGCTCAATTTGTTTTTTAAATTTGTTCACTTTTTATCTCCTGTACCATACTAATGCCTTTTTATTTAAGTTGTTAAATAAATATAGTATTTTGTGTCCTTTTATCTTAGGTTGGAAAATCACCAAAGGATAGGTTGTGCCGAAGGGTAAGTGAACCTCCTTCCACTGGGTGTCCTGGTGTTCATCCTGTGCTTTATGTAAGTGCCTTGTTCATTGCAGGCTGGGGTGAACTTTGCCTTTTTTGCCATTTTGATGACCTGTCCGGTGATAAGAAAAATGGAAAGGGAATACGATACTAAGGAAGCTGGTCATGAACCACGGCCGACTCTAATTTACCTTCCCAGGCCGTCAGTGATCACAGGGTGTCCTCGTCCCCGGACTGCGGCCAGGAGGGGGCGTGCTGGCCTCGCTGCGCCTCCTCACGGCACCAGCCGGTATCACACCGAGGCAGATTCATGAGTGAAACGTGGCCTCCTTTATGGTCCTAACCGTTGTACACATAGTCCTAAGTGACGTGCCAGCCCCTGGCTACTGGGCTTCTATTTGAGGCCAGTGGTTAACAGTGCAGACATCTGCTCGAAGCTTTGAAATATTCTTACCCCAGCACCGTCCTTAGGAATAACGGGACACATGAACCTGGCCTTCTAGGCCTGGAGCCCTGAAAAGCCACCACTGTTTGGAGAGCGGCTCTGTGCCTGCAGTTACAGCTGCGTGCACGCACTCGGGGTCACGCAGGATGCGACGGACTTGGTGGTCAGGTGCTTATGTTGACTCCAGGCAGCGGACCTTTAGGTTGATCTGGAGTCAGCGGGAATGACCCGTCGCACACAGCATGAGTCTGGTGTTCAGTTCACAGGCTTGAGGATTCGGGTTTTGTTGACAGGGTTTGGTTCAGTCCCTGAAGGGCGCTCCGAACCTAGAGCAGGCGGTTTCCCCACAGCTTCTCAGGGTGGGCTGTCGAGTGTGCGTCTTCCCTGTGCCGGGATTACGTGGCCGTCACATGCCTTAGTGAGCCTGCCCACGAGCAGAGTGGCATCTGAAGGCATCTGATGACACCATGTCTTTCAGCACACAAGGAACACTAACTTCCATGAAGTTGATAGCAGTGCCGTCTTTTTTAAAGCCTAATTTTAAAATTAGTTGAAGCTGAAGAAAGGAATGTGTCAGTGTCTTGACTTTCAAATTCTTGCCTGTTCAGTGTGGACAGTTGCAAAGGTCTGTTTTTTATTTTCCTGATAGTGGCTGTAGCAGCTTTGCCGCTGGCACTCATCGTGTCCCTTTTTAAAAAAACAGGATGTGGGGATGAGCGACACAGCAATGACCTCTTTCCTTGGCTCCTGCTTGGATCTTCTTCAGACTTTAATGGAGGTAAAAGAGGTGTATTTTCATTCTGAACTGTCTCTAAGATATTAAGTGTTTTTATTTAAAAAAAATTTTTCTAATGTATGTTTATTTTTGAGAGAGAGAAAGCGCGTGAGCAGGGGAGGGGCAGAGAGAGAGGGAGACACAGTTGGAAGCAGGCTCCAGGCTCTGAGCTGTCAGCACAGAGCCCGACACAGGGCTCGAACTCACGAACCGGGAGATCATGACCTGAACGGAAGTTGGATACTTAACGGGACTGAGCCACCCAGGTGCCCCTAAATGTTTAAAAATCATTGGACTTGAAGGACTACAGGAAAAAGTTTTTTCATTTACTCGTTTCTTAATTTTGACTTAAGCGCCCAAAATAGTGGTTTCTTAGAAAGGATTAGATTCTTTGTTGTTGTACTTTGGAGGTGCGGGGAGAAAAGGAGTTTGTACTTCCCCACTGGTAAGCTCATTAAGACCTTTGCAAGCTGTGATGTCTCCAGCTCTGAACACAGTTCTCTGTGCTGACTGCAGGCTGACATCAGCAGGGATGAAATGCAGGCGCCCGCCCTGGGTATGGAGGACGCGTGGCTCGCTGTCGAAGGGCCCATCTCAATCGTGGAGCTGGCCTTCGAGCAGAAACACATCCACTACCCGCTGGTGGAGCACCACTCTGTCCTGTGCTCCATCCTGTACGCCATCATGAGGTTTTCCCTGAAAACTGTGAAGCCGCTTTCACTCTTTGACAGTAAAGTAAGTCCCTCCGATGAGCCCTGAGCCAAGGGCCTCGCACGACACTGAGCGGGACTCGCCTGTCGTACAGGAAGTTGCTCAGCACTTGTGTGACTCCGTGGGGTCCTGTCTGTGGGGCTGTCTACGCGCACAGTTTCCCGCTGTTGCCGCCAGATTGCCTGCTCGTGGTATTCGAGGTCGGTGTCCGCCCGCGCGGCTGCCTGCTGCTCCTCATGGAGCTGGTTTCCCCCCTCGTCCGCCCCCAGGCCTGACCTGCGCCCTGGCTTCGAAGCTTGCGTTTCTGTTGAATGTCTCTCTCCGCACGTGCAGTGCGACTCCAGACACCTCACGTCTCAAATCTGCCTCGAGCCCTCACCCGCACCCTGCCCTTGACCTCCGCTGCCGTCCCCCTGATCCCCGGCTGGGACGGGAAACCTCTCTCCCCCCTTCGAGGTCCCCAGTGACAGTAGCTCTTGATCCTTCCTGAAACCGCCGCCGTCCATTGCTCTCCACCACCCAGTTCAGGCCTCCTCGTCTTTCGCTCGCTCTCTGTCCAGTCTGCCTTTCCAGAACGCGGGTTACTCAGGCCAGAGCAGGCCGACATGGTCCACGCAGCCGGAGAGGAGCGTCAGAGTGCGGGTGGTTGGCCAGCGTCACTGCTTAGCGTTTAAGGGACAGAAGCGGAGTTGGGGACCACCGCTTAGCCTTGTGGGAAAGGGGTATATTTTACCCCGAGACTCGTGCTTAGGAGGCACAGCTGGACTCGGGGGGCTTCCCTTCGGGCTCCTGTCCCCGCGCAGAGACTGCCCGCCCCCCTCCACGTAAGGAGCGCTCAGCGGCGTGTCCTGCATTCACAGGCCCCTCCTGGGGGCAGCGCATGGGTGGGGCCGGAGCCCCCCGCCGGTTCTGTGCTGGAGGCCCTGCACGTGGAGACGTGGAGCCAGAGGGAGCCCCCCCTCCTGCTCTCCCGCCCCGGCTGTTCCCCCTCCACAGCTGTCTCCCCCCTCCCACCCCAGCTGTTCCCCCCTCCGCAGCTGCCTCTGTGCCCAGCGACTACTGACTCCCCTCCCTGTGAGTAGACACTTTTACCTCTTCTCACTGTGGTCCGTCTTCTTAGCCCGTGGTTTCGCCAGTTGCTGAGTGTTGTCCCTTAAGTGTCACCTCTTCCCGGTCCTGGTCTGCACTCCGTAACTTACCGCTCTAGGCTGTTCCCCCGTCTGTGCCCCGCCTGGCACAGCAGCCCGGGAAATGTTTAATAGATTTGTAATTAAGGAGATGTAGAGCAGAGTCACGCTGCTGGGCAGGATGCAGAGGGGAGACCAGCGACAGCGAGGAGCTGCTGAGGGTGTGGACCCAGAGAAGAGGGAGTCGTGGGGGCTCTAGGGGAGTCCGGACCCTGAGGACAGGCTGGGAATAGCACTGCAGGAGACAGAGGGGGTCCCAGTTCCATGAGCTTCCAAGCCCATTTAGAGGGGTTGGGATATGTTGAGTTAGAGAGTAAATGTAAACAGAAATAACTGTGTTTTAAGAAATTTAACATTTAAATCCCAGTAGTTGACCTTTGAAAGGTATAAGTCTGAGGACAGATTTTCCTCTTCCTCATAAAATAACATTATATAATTTTTACATTTGTAAACAGATTTTGTATGAATGTTTATAGCTTGGAGTTTGAAAAACACAGTAAATTTTTTAAGAAAAACCAAAAACAGGGTGCCTAGTTCAGTACTCAGCCAGGGAGCTCGGGAGACCGGAGCGCGTCTGGAATTAGCCTGGCGGGGACACCAGTCCCGGCCCAGATCGCGCCACGCGGCCCCGAGACAGCGGTGTGACTCTCACATGCAGACAGGCACTGGGGTTTGGCCAGTGAAACCGAATCCTGGCTCTGCCATTTCCTAGCGAGTCTTTCCAAGCTGCTCCTGGCCTCAGTTTCTTATTCCGAAGTGATGACTCTAGTACCTACCTTATGGTTGTTCTGAGGGTGAAGACTTAAGAAGTGCTGAGCGGTGTCGAGAGCGTGGAAGACAGTAAATGGCGCTGTGCTAGTTGTGCATTCGTGTCCCCACCCCGGAGACTCTCACCTACAAGAGACCCTCATCACAGCTGAAACCGCCGGCGGAAGCTAGAGTCACAAGTCGTGAGGGAGTTTGTGGACAGGCAGTGACGCCTGTAACGCAGGGCGCTGCCCTAGGAGTCGGCTGTGTCTCCTCGCTGGAGGAGGAGCAGCTTTCTCCCTATTGGCAGTCACACTGTAGATAACCTTTCGGTCTAGAACACACGTTAGAAGGTACCGGTGATGACTGTGTGCAGGTGAACCCGGAGGGCAGTGCGGGCCTGGGGCTAGAAGCTGGGTCTTTGCAACTTCCGAAGGCCAGTGTGCTTGGCCGTGTGTTACGTTTCCTTCCGAGGAACTTCGGAAACCCAGCTTTCTGATGTTCTGCTTTGCCGTTTCAGACACACATCTGTTCTCTTAAAGAACGTGTTTTCATGGGGTTGAACAAGTGTTTGTTTTTTTTTAATGTTTTATTTATTTCTGAGAGAGAGAGAGAGAGAGACCGCGTGAGCAGGGGAGGGTCAGAGAGAGAGGGAAACACAGAATCTGAAACAGGCTCCAGGCTCTGAGCTGGCTGTCAGCACAGAACCCGATGCAGGAATCGAACCCATGAACTGTGAGATCATGACCTGAGCTGAAGTCAGAGGCTTAACAGACTGAGCCACCCAGGCGCCCCACAAGTGTTTTTAAAAGAATTCAGAGTACACACATGTCTTAGTTATTACTGTGTAACAAATTATCTAAAAATTTAGTGGTTGAAAACAAACATTTACTACCATTTTTCTGGGTCAGGAATCTGGGTCCCCCACCTTAGGTGACTCTGGCTTAAAGTCTTTCATGTCTGCAGGTAGGGTTTTAGCCGGGGCGCAGTCCCATCTCAGGCCCAGCTGGGGTGGACATGGGAGGGCCGCTTGCAGCTTCCACGATTGCTGTGGCCACTGGCTTCCCTCCGCGTGAGTACAAGCACCCGAACCTTGTACTCACAGTGATGTGCTAATAACATCTCTGCTCATCCACCAGCAGCGAGTCCAGCCCACACTGAGGGGCAGGGGGTTGATTACCCAAGGCCTGCATGCCAGGAGGAGGGGGCGGGTCACAGCTTACATTCTGCCTACTGTTTACCAGATATTTATTATCAAAACTAAGTGAATAAAATTCTGAAATTTTACTGTTCAGGAAGAAAAGTCAACCATCAGTTATTCATTAAATGATTACATTTTTAAATCTTTTGTCTTGCCTTTAATAGTAATCCATACTCATCAGGCTTTTATTATCTTTTCCTTCTCTTCAGGGGAAGAATGCATTTTTCAAAGACCTAACTTCAATTCAGTTACTACCTAGTGGGGAAATGGATCCAAATTTTATTTCCGTACGACAACAGGTAAATTACAATTACCGGCTTTTGTTTTTGTTTCTCAGAAAATGATAGTAAATAAACAGTGTAACTGGTCTTAAAGGATATGCCCACTTCCAAGGTGTTCTTGAGAGCGGTTTTTCCTTTCAGGTATATGTTCCTCTCTGACAATTAATTGTAACGGAAAAGCTACCCAAACCGTTACTTTGATTTAGACATGTTCCGATGAGATCACTAATAGCGCTCTGCGCCCTTCTCTGCTTTTGAGTTCTTACTGAAAGTCGTCAGTGCAGCCGTCCAGGCCCAGCATTCGGCCGTGAAGGACAGAGAGTCCTCAGAAGAGGCACCAACCACTCCCTTTGGGAAAGACCAAGATTGGCCGGTTCTGGCCGTGGATTTGGCTCATCACCTTCAAGTTAGTGAAGATGATGTCCGAAGGCATTACGTGGGGGAGCTCTACAACTATGGAGTTGACCACTTAGGAGAAGAGGTACTGTCACCCTATGAGTGTGAGGTGGGGGCTCAAGTGAGAAAATGTATAGCTGGAGTGAAGAATCAGCAAAGTCTCCTATTGCTTTTGGCTTTGCTTTTTGTTAGAACTACAGGGCACAAAAACAAAAGAGTATTAAAACATGAAGGTGTCATCGGTTGCCTGTTTCTGAGTTAAGAGACTCCCCTGGGGTGTCAGGCCCGTTCTGTGCCAAGGGCACAACAGTGAACACCACAGACCAGATCCCTTCCTTGTGGGCTTGCGAGGCTGCCGGCCGGAGACAGCACGCCGGCTTCTGTCCTGAGGGACAAGCACCGTGACGAGCAGGCGCTCCTACAGCACAGTGGTCGGGGGGACGTGGGAACCGAGCTCGAGGGCAATTTGCGGCAGGGTAGCGCCAAGTGCAAGGTCTTGTAGGGGGCCTGGCTTGGCAGCGCGCAGGCCCAGAAGGGCCAGCGTGGGGGACCGAACACAGCACTGAGGGATGAAGTCGGAGACGAGGTGGGAGGTTGGCAGGGGCCAGATCACGTCTCGTAGCTCATGGTGATTCAAAGTATGTTCAGAAGCCACGAGAAGGTTTTAAGCAGTCATGATGTGATTTTAATTCCCCCTCTTTACCAGAAATTAAAAAATGACTCTTCTAGTCATGTTGAATTAAAAAATTATGGGGAAAGAGGCACCTGGGTGGCTCAGTCAGTTAAGCGTCCGACTTCAGCTCAGGTCATGATCTCGTGGTCTGTGAGTTCAAGCCCCATGTTGGGCTCTGTGCTGACAGCTCAGAGCCTGGAGCCTGCTTCCGATTCTGTGTCCCCACCTCTCTCTGCCCTTCCCCCACTCATGCTCTGTCTTGCTCTCTCAAAAATAAATGTTAAAAACATTTTTTTATATAAGAAAAATTACAGGAAAAGAAAAATTAGGTGATGAGCAGAAATTTGGATTCTGAATGCTATATTTGATTTGGACTTTTTTTTGGTTGTATACATGGCCACCGCCCACAACCGAGTAAGAATCTCTTCGCTGGCAAAGCCTTTCCTAGAGTAAATAAATCTGTTAGCTCTTACTATACGTTTGTCTGTGTTCATCTCCTCAGGCCATTCTCCAGGTTCATGACAAAGAGGTCCTCGCCTCTCAGCTGCTGGTGTTAACAGGGCAGAGACTGGCCCACGCGCTTCTCCACACGCAGACAAAAGAAGGCATGGAGCTGCTGGCCCGACTCCCACCCACGCTCTGCACCTGGCTGAAAGCGATGGTAAGTACGAGGGAGTGAGATCGATGGGGCCGCTGGATGTCATCTCTCTGTTTTATTGAGAGAGAGAGAGAGAGAGCGAGCGCGTGCGCGAGAGCAAGCGGGGGAGGGGCAGAGAGAATCCCAGGCAGGCTCTGTGCGGTCGGTGTAGAGCCCGACACGGGGCGCCAGCTCACAAACTGTGAGATCATGACCTGAGCCGAAATCGAGTTGGACGCTTATCCAGCTGAGCCACCCATGCACCCTTGGATGTTTTCTTAAATGCATATTTAAAACAACAGTTAAGGAGAAAATTTAAATTACAAGTTTAACTTAGGTCCAAAGAAAAGCATTCTTCCTAGGAAAGAACAACTCTGGTAACTCGTACGTGACTGACAGTTACTGCCGGGTAGGACTGACGGGTTATTTTTGTGCCCCATTTGCAGAACCCCCAAGATCTTCAAAACACAGAAGTGCCAATCGCAACAACAGCCAAACTAGTACATAAAGTAATCGAGCTTTTACCAGAAAACCACGGGCAGTACAGTCTAGCCTTACACCTCATTGAAGCTGTGGAAGCCATATCTCTTCCTCCTTTATGACACGTAGCTACTGAAAACAGTCTACAGTTGTGTGACTAGAACTACATGAATTAGTGCATGGTAACTTTCCATAGTAAGATCTGGAATTTTATGGAGGGAGTACATCTTTTTTCTTTTGTAAAATAAAAATACATACTACTTTTAAAAGTGCGGTTCTGGCTAAATCTACTCATTTCGTTAATACTGAAGATAAAATATAAACAAGTATCAATTATACTATTAATTACTAAAAGATGTTTTTCTGTTTCTTTCTAATTTAAGCACTTTAAGTAGCTTTATTGGTAAACTTTGCTATTTCAAATGGGTTATAATTTACAGATTATGTTATTATCAGATTCTATATTTTGTACTCGAAATGTCATTGTAATTAAATTTAAACGTGTCCATGTACAGTCCCCATCAGTAAAGTTAGGGAACCTCCCACTCGCTTTTGTTGGCGCGCTCCCGTCCCCCGGTCCCGGGCCGCTCCCCGCTCCCCGGATGCGCCAGGCTCTCTCCCAGAGGTTACGCTGCCGCCAGGCCGCCACCGGAGGATGACCTTGCCTCATGACCTTGCCTCGGAGAAGGAACGGGTTCGAGATCATCACATTCGTCAGAAGGGACCCTAAACAGAACCCTCAACCTGCTGTACTTGCCAAAAGTGAGAATCTGAGATGCAGGCAACGCAGCACGATTAATTACAGTGTAAGCTGAGATTTACTTTTTGCCAGGATTCAAAGTTGTATCCACATCAGGTAATTGTAAAAATGTATTATCATCTTGTAAAATTTATGTTTAAAAAAAGGCAAAGATGCTAAAAATTTAAGTCCAACTGTATTTTTTAGAAATGTCTGCTTCTGGGATATGGTAATGTTATCTGTTCTTGGGAACAGCATGCAAAAGGCTCAGTGATACTACGGCTTTGCAAACCTACCTCACAGCTGGGTGGAGAGAATACGGTAATTTTGTACCTAGAGTGCCTAGTGCAGTCCAAGTGCTGAAGAATTATTTGTTGATTAAAACCAGATTAACCAAAACTCTGTAAAAAGTGCTTTCAGCTCCACAAATACCAAGTGTAATGGTGTATTTTTGGAACGGAGCCATACAGCGCAATTCCCGACCTCTGTCGTGGAGCACGAGGGTTAGTTACACACAGTAACTCGGTGCGATAAGAAGTGTGTTTCTTCACTTACGTGTAAGAAGGCAACTTCAGCAATGGTGGGGCCGAGGAGTGCGCGCCCCTCAAGGGTTAAAGAGAAAAGCCTGAAGTCTGAGGACCGCCCAGTGGGTGTCCTAGTTCTTTGTGACTGAAAGGTCACAGCCGAATAAGAACTGAAGGCTCTAAAACCTCCTAAGTACCATCCCAAGTTAAACACCCTGAGAGGGCTGAAGGAGGCCGTGACTAGCGGCGCGAGGCCTGGAGGCCGGCGGGGGCGGGGCTCACGCTGGGCGGCGGCGCTGGTAAGGCCCGGAAACCAGCCCGGAGTCTCCACCCCAGCTTGGCTCCCTGCTGCCCCATCCAGACACCTCGCGTGGGTTCTGGTAAACCTATCTAGCTTTATACAGTCCCTTGGTACATCCAGCCTGAAAGCTTAGCTCTTCCCGTGATTTTTCTAAATTCTCTGAAAGTAGTTCTGAATTTTGGAGGCTGGTCAAAGAAACTTGAAATATTCACTTTGATACGATTATCACTTCTGGGGGAAGGGGGACCTAAAAAGTAATTTAGAGAATAAAACTGGTTAAGCTTACTTATTCTGGTAGGACTCCTACTCCGATCTGGGGAGTGTTGAGAGTATTGTTAGCTGAAATACGGCTCCTAGAACCATAACAAATCACTGAATTACAAATCTATATAGTTACATATATGATCCTAAAATGGACCGTTCACAGAATTTTAAAATTGAATTCTGAGTTACATGGTTAAGAAAAGCAGTTAAATATTTTACTATCTGTTAGAGAGTCACAAATACAGGAATTAGATGGTCTGTAGAATGGGTGTTTTCTGAAACCAGGGTCTGGCGCCCTGAGTGAGGAGACGCCAGTAACCAGTAGTGTTTTCCTAGTTAGAACTTCCAACCCCACCCACCTTTCTTCATTAACACTAAACAGGCATTCTGCGCCCTCTTCAGTCCCACCATGTGCTGCTGAAGGGAAACAGAAGTGTTCAAATGATCCTGACTTCTACACTGCAGGCTGTGTCTGGGCGCAGAGCTAGAAGAGCCAGCACAGACTAGGTGGGGAGGACACAGCCCTGACCTTAAACGCCTCATGCGATTGCAAAAGCAGGCAGTTTCCCCTTTGTTAATAAAAATTCATGTAAGGTCAGAGTAAGCACTGTTAGATTTAATTGCTTTCTTTAAAAAAAGAAAAAAAAAGGTTAATTACAAGTTAAAATCAAAGAAAAAGAAGACTTAATAATATTAAGCTTGTGTGGAATAGAACGTTTCCTCACAGGCTGCTGTGGTTCATTCATTTGTCAGAGACAAGTCTCGTTAAGCACTCCACAGCGACAGCCCTTTCTCACCCTGCCAGGAATGAATTTGTGGGGCTTCTAGAAGTTAGATTTCTGCTGATACAATGAGCCATCCCTAGCAACATTTTACTCCAGTATGGAATTGTTTATAAGATGCTCTTATCTAATGTACTGTAGGTAGTGACCTTCTGTACATACTTCTGTTTTGTGTGTCTGTTCATTGTTGTGAATTCATGTATGTTAGTGAAATAAATTTTAAGCTTTCATGTTTCAACATTCATAAATACAAGTATTAAGATTCTCCCCCCCCCCGCCCTTGTATGAGAATAACCAGTTTGGTGGTGATGTGCTATGAAAAGGCTGACGTTCACTAGGAAGGCAGAATGAAACCACTTTTTGTTTGTTTCTTAAGGGAAAAACACACTTCTGGCACTTGCCTTCAAAGCCATAGTTTTTACTTGATTTTTACCACCTCACCAATATCCGTGATTTTCCAAATGGCTTTATTTTTAGACATTATAGAACTTAAATCCCGAGTCAAGAAGATTTAAAAATATAAAACATTTTCTGGTCAGCCACCTCTGAAGGCAAACCTATTCAGTGCCTCTGTTCTGAATAAATCCATTATGGATATGTCCAGGTCCATCCACCTATTTATACTTTTCTGCATGTATATAAATATATACACATTTTTATCTAATACAGGACAAACTTCTAATTCGGAATTTGACCCTTTTACTCTTCCACTCATTACCTAAGTCTTGGGTTTCTTTCCGGCGCTGTAAACACTCCGCAGCCAGCTGTCAACAGAGCGAGCTACTCCTTGCCGCTGACGACTTCTGTGCACCGGGGGCAGAGCGTGTCTGAGGACTCGGCGGTGCACTTCCAGCAACGGGGGCATTTTTCTTTGGTAGTTGGCATGACAATTACTTTATATGAAGACTCTTCACGAATATCGCCACCTGGGGGAGAGCAAGGCATGGAGAGTATTTCTGACAGGCCACTCCACCTGCATCTCTAGTTCCTGACAACTCCTCCTTCCCCTGGCCCCTGGCAAAGCTTGTCCGTACTGCTTCCTTTGCCTCGTTACGTAAACAGCTAGGACTGGGGCCTCACACCCTGAGAGCTGAGGGGTCAGGAGACCCTGAGTGAGAGGGGGAAGTCACTGGATTCTGTATCTTGTCGGGCAGAGCAGGCCTCCTAGCTCCTACCTAATCCAGGGATAGTTCTGACCAATTACTTTGCCTCTCTAGCTACACAACAGTTTTAAAAAGAGCCAAATTATAGTGACAGCTGCAGTGTCCCCAAATTAAATCTTCTTGGTTTGAACAAAAGAAAACAAAAATTTCTCCATTATTAATACTCAGACTTTGGACTGAATATATATAAGAAAGTTATTTTCTAGCCATTATAAAAAGAACGTACAGTACCGTTTTGAAAAGCAAGTGAGAATCTTTACTACATGGTCAGTGCTCCCAGGCCTCAGGGTTACGCTGATGCCCGTATGTTACCCCCACGGCACCTGACAGCACCTACAAACTGGCAAACACACACAGCCTCACCTTTCCCAGAGTATCTGCATGTTACTCTCTGTAAGTGTTACTGGGCCTCCATTTCCATCACTGAGAGTACTTGCTTATGAGAGACCACTGCGCAAGCGTTCAAGAAAGCATCTTCCTTAGCCCTCGTTAAGAATGGCTAAATCTTGGGGCACCTAGGTGGCTCGGCTGAGCATGCAACTTCAGCTCAGGTCATGATCTCACGGTTCGTAGGTTTGAGCCCCACGTCGGGCTCTGTGCTGACAGTTCAGAGCCTGGAGCCTGCTTCCGATTCTGTATCTCCCTCTCTCTCTGACCCTCCCCTGCTCAAAGCTGTCTCTCTCTCTCTCTCTCAGAAATAAAACATTGGGAAAGAAAAAAAAAAAGGCTAAATCTTGGGGCGCCTGGGTGGAATGTGTATCTGATTCTTGATTTCAGTTCACATCATGATCCCAGGGACCGAGCCTCGCATAGGGCCATGCACTGAGCATGGAGACGGTCTCTCTCTCTCTCCCTCTGCCTCATTCCCATTTGTGCTCTCACCCTCTCTAAAATAAATTTTAAAAATAGCTAAATCTGTTAATATAGGGTGTGCAAAATAAGCAGTTTCAGAGTCAGCAATGGGGCAGGGCAGGCTAGGGTACTGGGTATCAAAGGACAGGAACACAAAAAGCCAACGGGAGTGAGGCCAACTGACATCACCCACGATGACAACTATCAATTACTCACAGGACAGGAAGGAAAGCTCTCCTCTCCCTAGTCCTGTGTTCCCGAGATCATCATGCGGGACGCTTCTGAGAGCTGGTTTAGACACGTGGGCCAGCTTCCATTAAAAGATGTACTCCAGGAACGTACCTGCCTTTAGAATACACCTAATCCATGGGAGGGCTGGAGAGGCCCTAGGATTATCACTCAGGTCTCCAGGTCCCTCCGTTCTGCTGGCCGCCTCCTTACCTTCTAAATTGATCAGGAATGTCCCTTTGTGCTCAACAGCATCTGCGGGTAGTGTTCGTGGTTCCTGAGGGAGTAAAGTTGTCTCGGAAGCCATCATTAATTCATTCAACTGAGAGGTGCTGGAAGTCTCCTCAGCTTGTAGCATCTGGGGATGAGCATGTCGAAGTTACCATCTGAATGTTTACTGTAAACTCCGGGTATAAAAATAAATACAGATTCCTGTGTTTAGCGAGTAACCCTTTGGTACCAGTATCTCCTAAGCCAACACTATTAAATCAATGATTAACTAGAATGCAAGGTTTCAAATAAGAATTTCCAGTCAAGGGGTACCTGGGGGGCCCAGTCGGTTAAGCATCTGACTCTTGGTCTCCACCTGGGTCATGATCTCACAGTTCGTGAGTTCAAGCCCCACATCGGGCTCTGTGCTGATGGTGCAGAGCCTGCTTGGGATTCTGTCTCTCCTCTCTGCCCCTCCCCAGCTTGTGTACTCTCTTTCTCAAAGTAAAAATTTTTAAAAAAATTTCCAGTCAATAGGCACCTCACTATGCTAGATGCTAAATGTCCCTTATGATTAGAAACATTCACAGTGTGTCTCACCCCCATTTTCCAACTGAGGAAAGCCGCTCGGGGGGGTGCACTCACCCACAGTCCTCAAGCAGCAGGTGGGGGCTGCAATTCCAGCCCAGGTCTAGTGGCCTCACAGCCCAGACTTCTTTTCCTGCCTCCTACCCCCTGCTTTAGGAGACGGGACAAGGTACCACATAAACGGACTGGCTTTTAGCAACGCAGACCAATGGTGGCAACTGAATTACCCACAGGACTCCTCTCAAGTACAATAAAGTTGGGTGTCTGATAAGAACT